ATATTTAGCTTAGTCGCAACTAGTCGCAAGCAATTTTATAGCACGTCTGAAGATACACTATTCGTTGAAAACATGTAGGCATGTCCACATTAACATAAAATAATATTCTATAGCCTAATCGATATTTCAAAACCGCGGTAGTATTTACATTGAAAAAACTATGAATTATAATTTTCAAAAGTGTGGCTTAAATGTGGACATACCCTTATAATTGTGATAAATAAGCCAGGCTATAAATGGTATAAGTTTCTTTGTATACAGTCTACAGCAAAATACCATTTGAGCTAACACTGGCGTGCCGTTTTTGCTGTACTCTCTCCCGCACTTCAAGACTAGTTTGATTCCGAAATTTGTCGATATTAAGTCGCACCAGCAATATGCGTTACAGGATCCGTGTAAACATTCATCGAGCTTATTTCAGTATAAAACCGTCTATCTATAATTTCATAAATAATTACATTATTCAATTTACAATCGAAGTAATATCGTGTACAGATAAATACATGGATTAAAGATTAATTTACAAGATATACCTAAAACCGAATCACAATAAAAATATATTATTGCATCGTTTGAAACAATTTATACCCAATATTCGCCGTCAATGTACCAACACGACATAGATGATTACAATTAAAAAAATAAAATTACGATATGGTTTAAACAAATATAGACTACGAACTTAACAGAAAGTGTCACGATGCCTTTCTAGAATAAATCGAGTTATATTTACCCTCCACATCAATATCAACGCTCTCTGCTATCTCGAATGTCAACACTTATATCAAAAATTTACAAACAATGCGAAACAAAAGATAGGCGTCCGTTTAAAAACAAATCAAACACAAATTCTAATAATATTTTTTACAATAAAACGCTTTTGACGTAACAACCTATGTTTTATGTCGCATCCCGTAAACAATCATTACGGCCAACCGAGTGCATGTACACTAAACATTCAAGCAAAATAATCCGTTATAAAAACTATATGAAAAGGAAAATGCCGCTAAGACAAGACACATAGAAGCGATACTTTCGACGAAGTCGCATCTCTAACGCGACGACGTTGCTTCTCTAGCTCGACGTTAACGTGTGGTATGGCTCTAAATGAATAGCGAACAGCCATTCATCTTAGCACTCTCAATAAAACTGAGGAAATCCAAAAATAAACATTTTTGAGAAACTGAAAAAAAAAGACGCACATAATAAAAACCATCCGTATTATGCCCAGTGCGTGATTTTCTTTAATTAATTTTATCGGTCTCCCAAAAATATTACTTTTCGAATCTCGCCTTTTTAATAGGGAGTGTACTTGTAATTTCACATAAATCCTACAAAATAGCTGTATAAACACAATTAAGAAATTAATTTTGTTGTATGCATAACCAAAGTTCGACTGCAACACCGCTTTCCCTTTTCACAAATTCATTAATACTATGAGAACAGTGTTGAAAGTTCTATATAACATATTTCCCATCTTGCATGCATCTTGCCTAAGAAATTTATTCTCGAAATTAGTAATAGGTACAATATAGAAAAAGTCCTTGCATTGCAGCATTTGCTGCGTACCTTCTACATCAGCTTCCTTGTTGAGGTGCACACTCATTGCCAGTGCTACATAACGTTATCAAATTTTAGTACTCTCCTATCACCTTATTTGTGTAGTGTAGCTAATGTCTACACAACATTGCAAGTAAATATAGAAACAGATAGGACTCTGTAAGGCCCAGATTAATAAACAGATCTTTAGTCCGATATTAACTGTATATCTAGTGCTTAGACTACAATCATCAGCCTTGGATGACACCATCTCAAATGACGAAGAACCTGCACTTGAATAATAAGGACTTAATAGTCTTAAGACAACGTAAAGACCTCATATACCGACGATTCTTTGTTTCGATCCATATAATCGATCTATGATAATCGTATCAATTCGTCGTATACTTCCCTGGTGTTCAAGTTAATCGTTAACGACATAAACATACACAATCTATTCGTCGTTTCGGTTGGTCTGAAACGACGAATCGTGAAGACAAATCGTCCCGTATATGAGAGGCGTGCACTTAAGTAACATTTACTGATGACAGTTGACTAGGCGCCTTCAAATAGTGTTGGGTCATGGAAAACTTTTCCATTCTGAAAAACAATTATTTTTCAGAAGAAATCATATTTTTTTTATATTTTTCCACATTTGACGTTGACGATTGTCAAAAGTTGAAGTTACTGAACGAAAACGATGGAGCCATTATAAAGGTTTTTTTCGCTGTTATCCAATCATTTTTTTAATGATAATATCAAATTTAGTGATGGTAAGCTACACGCCTGCTGCAGTGCCACCACTGCAGCTGTTATGGACAGCAGGCAAGTTAGAGAAAATTGAGATTTATGTGGATAAATCTCAATTTTCTCTAACTTGCCTTTAGCTCTACAATTTCATTTTATAATTGACGCTAAATAAAACTTCAAAAGCTATTTCTAAACAAAGAATTATATTTTTCGAATATTTTTCAATTTTTCTAATTTTTGCGAAAAAATTTCCACCGTTTGAAATTTATCGGAAAATTACCCAACAATATTTAGAAGTGCAATTGCAGCGCCCCTGTCGTAACGCGCGTGCGACTTTTACAATCACAATAAGTAAAGTAAAAATTACTGAGGCGCCACTGCAGCTCTTCTACAAGCGTCTAATGTGAAGGCGCCCTTAAGCTCAACTCACACTGGCGCACAGTCGAAGTGTCGCGTCACATCCTGTTTTTCAACTACAAAAAGGCGAAAACGAAGGCGGCGAAGTCGTACGCCGTCGCGCGTTGTCGGAATTAATTGATTCCGTATTTGCATAACACATATTTATACCTTAATAATGGCAAAATAGAGATGAATATGCTATAGGCTAAAAACATGACACGTCGCGACGCTTCGACTCTGCGCCAGTGTGAGATGAGCCTTAGGAAGACCCCACACTCGCCGGTCTGAGCGGAAGCGAAACACGCTACATCTTTTTCTTTCTTATTGCATGAACATAAAGCTTTTTCTGACCGGCTCAAGCAGTTAAGTGTGGTGAGTAAAAATTTAATATCGATCCTGCACTTGGAGAAATTTACTAATACGGGCCTAAGTGCATTGAGAAATGTATAACTAATACTGACAAAGCTTCAGTAGCGTGCAGGTACTATCGGCTGAGTTATTACGGTGCAAGGATACAGTATTGTCCGAAAATATAAAATTATGAGTAATAGTACTAAAAAAGATTTCAACGTATTAACTTACAATGTTTTCGATTAGCAGACTGAAGATATAAACGCCATATTTCACATTACGGTTGGTTTTGAATTACGTGCACTATTGGAATTAGTACTTACACAACCATTGGCGCAAGAAATAAAAGCTATAATATATATACTTTTGCTTGCGGTTCGTCAGATATCCGTATGTAATATTTTTTCTTAACTAGGAAGTGACGTCACAAGTATTACTTGAAAAAAAATTATCGATACAAAGTAAACCAAATAAACAACCTCTTCATTACTTTAATTTCGAATGTTAATTTTAATAATACATGACATCTATAGCTTCACAGGTGGCTTGTGTTATATTTTTGAAAAACGCGCGTGTACCTGTCAGCACCGTACGCAATATACGCACAGAACTTTCGTACCTTTTTGTCGCACCTACACTTGTCTACGCATTCCATTACCAACGTGTACTACACATTACACTATCGATGTGTACCAATTCCACTAACGATGTGTACCATATATTCCACTATCAATGTGTACCATATGTTTCACTGCGGTGTGTACCACATGTTTCACTGTCAATGTGTACCAGAAGTTTCACTGTCGATGTGTACCACATGTTTCACTGTCAATGTGTACCATATGTTTCACTGTGAATGTGTACCAAATGTTTCAATGTGCATGTGAAAATGACAGGTACATAACTGGTATAAACTAGGCCGCCGGAAATATGACTCGATGCGCTACGTACAGTGGTAACTAATGAGCTTTGAGCTTTCTCATGGGCTTTGAATGAAGAGCTGAAATGGCAGCATGCTATCGTAGGACACTATCATCATAATCCTCAGTCATTAACCATACATCAGCTATTCCATACGAAATGTTCATTACTTTACAAATGTACGGGATAACTGATTTTATTTTCACTACAAATGTGATCACAACAGTTAAGATTATTGCTGTGGTAATTATCGCTTAAAGTATCGCGAAGTACAATCATTGTCACCTTGGTTATATCTCTTCAATACAATGCTAAAGTGTATGAAGCCAACAGTGGCTCTTTGTGATCTTGATGAACAAGAACATCGTGTAATATACAAATAGGTGGCAGTTTAACACACATGCCGTCGTGATCTTCGAGGCTTGTTACACTTTTCTGACAAATCCTGGTAAAAATACATACTTATCCTTGGTAAGTTACGCAAAAACCAACGACTTGGGATCGAGATATAAAAAAATACATCTACACAAATTCCATTAGTATTATTTAAAATCCAAGCTTAGATTCACACAAATTAACGATTGCTTTTTGAACCTTAGATTCCAATATATTATTTGACATTAAAATTATATCGCTTATCAGTTCGCTACAACAAATTCAAAATTAACATTAACTATTTACACGTAAGATTGGAACTCAACTGGATTACATTTTGTATAAAAAAAAATTGACTATTTCCGTAAAACTCGACTTGGGAGCTTGGATTTTTAAAAACAGAACTGTAAATTAACATTTTTAACTCGCTTGTTAATTGTAGATATACATAAAAAAGGGACAAAAAATTAATTCCTTTCACGTATACGCTCAAAGAACTAATTTTTATTTCGATATATCCAATGAACACTAGTCAATTTAATTTTAGGATCTGTTATGTTTTTATTTTGTTTTTTTCTTTTTCGCAACATTCGTTTTTTGGTGTTTTTTGAAATTTTGTTTCGTTTCTTTATTATTGTGTCACAAAATTCAGGGAGCATAATATAAGTAAATAAATATGGCTATTTACAAAAATAACAGAAAATGACCAATAAAATAAAGTTGGTACGCCAACTGTTCATAGGAGGTATCGATTTGTTGTTCTCAGAGTTGCGACAATTTTAAATACAACATCAAGTCATCATATCGGCTGATTAGAAGACAATTGCGCTTCAAAAATTAGGTAAATTTTATCACTGCAAAGACATTGGCACCGTATGATACATAGCGTCCCACAGCTTGTCAACGATAGTTGTTTATAAGATTTAACTTCTGAAAAGTTAAATTTTGTGACTATAACCCTTTTCAAATCTAAGCCCGTAAATAGCGAACCTCCTGCACGCGCTACCGTATCGTACGGAACCAATAATAATGAGATAGTTCAGCATTTATCAACTCCCAACTAAATCGAAGGTGATTGCGTAACGTGATTCAGGTAATGTAGTAAGGCGGCTCGGGCAGTGGTCGTGGCGTGCGCGCGCGCAGACTCATTTCATCAGCAACTTAATGTGCTGCAGGAACTCGTAGTACGCGAAGGAAGACTCCACGCGGTCGTCCACTAGCCGCTCCGTGAACGTCACGCGCGACGGCGAGTTGTCTCTGCACACAAATCAGACGTTGGATTATGCATATCCAGACGTTGCGCAAGAGTGTGTTAAGAAGACAATGTTGACAATTAAACTATTTTTCGCCATCAACACTGACCGTGGGACACTAGTCAAGAGCCCGAACTGCAGGTGGTGGGCCTAACTTTTTCTTTCGATGAAAAAAAAAAATTTTTTTTATTATATTTAAAATTACTTATTTAAGTAATATACATCCGTTGGTATATTTTATTCATATAATTGTTGACATTAAAAAGACAATAATAACTAATTGTGTTTATTAAATTATTTTAATTCGTTGAAGAACTAAAATAACTTCAACAATCACTTAATCACACAAAGTAACAGTACAAGCAAGAATAAAAATTGATGAGGTGTAAATTCAAAACGTATCCGAAGATAAACTTTTTGTTTAATTAAAAAAAAACTGATGTTTTTTACAGTTCAACTGTTTTTCTTTCATCTACCATTTTCCTCGCTATAGTGAGGTGAAAAGTTCTGTGTTTCGCTCGGCAGCAAAGTTGTTTTGCGTCTCGTGCCTTAAAACTCTCGCTACGCTCAGGAATCTATTTTTGAACCACTCGCTTAGCTCGTGGTTCTATCTTTACTTCCTTCGTTTGATCAGGTTTCAATATAGGCACTCGCGTCAAACAACAACTTTGCATAACAAGTAACTATCAGTAGCAGTAGAACTCTTTGTGAAAGAATTCGTCCAGGGAAGTACAGCCACTGCGAAATAAATTGATACGACCTTTACGTACACAGCGGAAATGGCAGACAGAGCTTAAGTGAGTGGTGCTTTGCGTACAGTTAGCACACGTGGCACGCGAACTAAGTACTTCTACTGTATTTATTGTTCCGGGTGGCATTACGAATTATTTCATAAAGTGCTCTACTGCTACCGATTCGGCGTAAGATGGACACTGTAGTCTGTGTTTTTTGAAGATGGAGTAAAACGACAGTTTATTGCACAAAAGTGTTGCTCGCTTGCAAGCAGCTAGTGACTGCAGTCGAAAGATATTATTTAAAACTTAATTTCGATATTCATACACCAACTGTCAAAATAAGACTAAAGAATACAATAATGCAATTAGTAATCACTAGAATGTCGTAATATTCACAAATATTACACAAATATATTTTGGCAAAATTTTACACACTTTCACAATTCCTCGATAAAATTGTCGACAACAACTACATGACTATTTAAAATTTTACAAAAACTGGTAGCCCAGCAAATATTATTTTACTCCATCTTCAATAAAGACAGCCTACAGCCGTTCTACATATCGTAGAGTGTCGTGTGACTAAAATACGCGACTACACCAGTACCAACCTGAGGACGAGAATGTTGGCGGCATAGGGCCGGTCGTCGTTGAGTTTGTCGATGAAAGTGTGCAGCAGCGCGTTGCCTTCGGTGTCGAGGCGCGGCAGGCTGCGAGCCTCGTCGGGCAGCTGGCTGAAGGCCGCCACGCCGAACGTCTCGGACAGGAACGCCGGACTCACCGCGTGACACACGTAGATTATCATCGTCTCGCCATCGTCGAGCAGATAGGCGCCGTTGGCGTTTATTCTGAAATTGGAGACGCCGCGTTGGATTTAGGCACGCTTAGGATAAAGTAATAAGGATATTTTTGTTACTCGCTTGTGGTGTCCTGATGTGCAGTCGAGTTAGCTTAATTCATACTACAGATCGTAACTCTAAAAGAGGTTAAAATTGCGTCTTATACATAGGGTGCAATATAAGTTTCCGGAAATGGCCACTTACATAAACAATATTTAAAAAATAATTACAACATTTGAAAATTAAACTCTTTGGCTGTACAATACAGTTTGTTTCATCTGACTATCACTGTTTTTACATTCTGGCATCATTTTAGAAATTGGTTGTCTACATCACCATGTATTTAACTCGTGAAAATTTTCGTAGTATGATTTTCTGCGACTTTAAATGTTATTTAACAGCTCAGCGGAGCTTCGCACGGCTTCGAACTGCTTTTGGCGATGAAGCACCATGCAAGACGACTATTTATAGCTGGTTTTCAGAATTCAAACGCGATCGTGTGAATCTAAGTGACGAATTTCGTGATGGTCGCCCGTCCACTGCTGTGAACAACAAAAACGTCGATACTGTGCGCCGTATGATCAAAACAGACAGGCATGTGACATACCATAAGACTCGGGCATCTTTAGGCATAGGCAGGAGTCAAATACAATCAATAGTACATAAACATTTGGGTGTGAAAAAGCTGTGCTCTCGGTGGATCCCAAATAATATGACTGAGGCTCAAAAAATGGATCGCATCTCTTGGTGCAACGCCATGCTTACCAGGTTCAATGAAGGGGCATCAAATTTGGTGTGGGACATAGTAACAGGTGACGAAACATGGATTCATAGTTACGATCCCAAAACAAAGCAGCAATCGAGCGTATGGGTTTTTCGAGATGAGCCGAAACCTACCAAAGTGGCGCGCGTGCAAAGTGCCTCTAAACGGATGATTGCTTCTTTTTTTAATAAAACCGGACACGTGGCTACCGTTGCTTTGGAGAATCGTTGTACCGTAAATAGTGATTGGTATACGACTATTTGTTTGCCGGAAGTTATTGACAAACTCCGTAAAAATAACCGTAAACGCCGTATCATCTTGCACCACGATAATGCCAGTTCTCACACGGCCAGACAGGCAAATGAATTTTTGAAGGTGAACAACGTTGACCTTATGAGCCATCCCGCGTACAGTCCCGACCTGGCACCTTGTGACTTTTATTTATTTCCAAAAATGAAGAACCAGTTACGTGGTCAACGATTTTCATCACCTGAAGAGGCTGTCGAAAAGTACGAAAAATATGTTTCCGAGATTGTCACGGAGGACAGGCATAAATGTTTTCAAAATTGGTTCATTCGTATGATAAAGTGCATTAACGCTAACGCAGAATATTTTGAGAAACGATAAATTCATTTCTGACCATTTATAGTATTTTTTTCTTATTCATTCCGGAAACTTATAGTGCGCCTCACGTATCTATCTAGATGACACTCATTAACAGACCGGAAGTAGTTTATATTGTTTAAATGGCATTGGGTGTTAATATGAAATATAAAAAGAAATTTTTATTTTCTTTGTAATATTATTTAAATATTGATCATGAGCTAAATGAGAAATATACGTGTCAATAGGTGGCATTGTGTGTTACAAACTAAAAATTAACGCTTCCTAATATGTGTAGATGGCACTAATTCTAAACAAAACAAAAGAACAGCCGCCACTAGCCCTAAAAATCTATGCAATAGGCACCATTTAGTTGATTTGTATGTTGTCATTCGAAATTAGAGTAGGTTGACAAATTGCAGCTAGTCAATGTAAAACAAATTAGTTAAAACATTGACTTACAAATAAATGGACGACGGGTCTAATACAAAAACCACGAAAAAAATGTCCCAAGTCAACCTATTCGAAATTTAAATTGTAATGTCATCGCAGTATCGCGCTGTCAGTCGAACAAATGAAGACTAAAGCGGAGTTTTGGCGCTCTGTATACGATTTTAGCGCCTTACAAGTGCGGACACTTTTTAGCGCGGACCCGACGTCCATATAATTGTAAGTCAATGAGTTAAAATGGTTAAAATAAATAAAATAAAATCCAGAAATAGGTACTCGATACTGGTCGCGACATCTGGGGTACCAATAGGTACTAAATGCCCCACTACGCCGTCTTATATCGCGATTCTTTTGAATTATAGCTCCATGGTAATATAGCTTGATCGAAAATATGAATAAATTTTCGTCGTAATTTTAATTACAACGTTAACGTCCAAAGTCAATGTAAACTAATATTTGACTGAAATACGAGATGAGTTAAAAAATTTTTTCTTAAACAATATTTACAAGTGTTTCTTGTTGCGTATTTAAAATTTCAAATACTATATTGAAAATTAATAAATTTCGTGGAAAATTTATATCGAGTTTTCAAGTTTTTTGCACAGTGCGTCCGTATCGATTATGGAAAAAATAAATTAAATATTTTTATAAACTGCATTTTTTAAATAAATTTAAAATTTCTTAATAACCAAACCAACAAAACCAAAATCGTTAGGAACACCGTGTGCCTTCACATTGCGTGGCGGGTTAAAAGATTGTTTGATTGTGGAGACTGAATGCGTCAAACCTTTCGGCGGACAGGTGCAGGCGCGGCGGGTCGGGCGCGTCGGGCTCGTCGTCGTCGTCGGGCCGCTGGGCGGGGGCGGGGGCGGGGGCGGGGGCGGGGGCGCGCAGCGCGTGCACGGGGTACAGGTCGGGGTACACGGCGCGCATCAGCTGCGGCAGCGGCAGCGACTTCATGGCGCACATGTCGGCCAATCGGTCGTCCAGCCGCGTGCTCGTGCCCGTGCGGAACGCTTTCTGCAATCACTCTTCATTTTCAACTACTGCGTCGTAGATCTAAGTCTTTTTCTTGCCATGTCAAAATATAACAAGAGATGTACGGAGTCAACGTGGAAGGCAATATTGGCATCGAAAACAAAGAGGTTTGCCAGTTTCTGTCATTGTGACACAATATCTATTTGTCATGTTAAGTGACGATCGGTAGTCCTACCTACTGTTTTTATATATAATAACAATTATTATGATGTTATTATTGGTGGTGTTGTTAGTTATCTATCTATATTTTTATAAAAATATGTCAAAGTGTGAACAGTATAAATAAATTCGGGAAAGAATAAAGGCGTAGTTTGGATACAATTGAATTAAAGCCCTGAAACAGGCGTTTATGGAGGCTGATTTAACTTAGGTCCCAAAATGGGTATTAACAGAGGCTGAATAAGCTTAGGTCCAAAATGGGCATTTACGGAGGTTGATAAGCTTAGGCCTGAAAAGGAGCATTTACGGAGGTTGAATAAGTTTCCTCCCAAAATGGGCATTAACGGAGGCTGATTAATCTTAGGTCCCAAAATGGACATTAGCGGAGGTTGAGTAAGGCGTAGAAGGGGCAAAGGCGGAGCACTGACCCTCTTGAGCAGCGCCAGCAGGAAGAGCGGCAGCAGGCGCAGCGCGTGCGGCGCGTGCAGCGCGGCGCTGACGGAGCCGGTGGGCAGGTTCTGCGCCAGGCGGTGCGCCGCCAGCACGTCCACGGCCACGTTCACCAGCGCCTCGCGCGCCTCCGCCACCGACGCCGTCGTGCAGCGGTCCACGGCTGCGAGGCGGACGCGCGTTAGCGACTTACGTTCTCGGGGGTAAATGCGCTATATAATAGTTCTTTTAGATACAATTGCGGAAACTCAGACATTGTTCAAGACTCGAGACAAGTGACGACGTTTTTAATACATTTGCGAAAAAACTACATTGAAAGTAAAATAAAACAGTATTTAAAAAAACTCACGAGTGCAATTGCAACTGTTGCCAGTATCCAGCCACATTAAAATTACTATTTTAGTGGCGCAGCGCGCAGCGGTCTCGCGTAATACTCACCTTCGGTCATTGTTAATACTCAATCAGTCATCTTTATGGAAAATATATTGGTATTTTTAAATGTAACCCGTTTGTTTTATAAAACACCTATGCAATTTCAACAAATAAGATATTTGTAAGTAAATATATGTTTTAATTACGAATGACTTACGTCACAAAGCACATGAATATTAAATAAACATACAACCTCTTTAGTTCTATGTTAAGACTTTAAACAACAATAAATTTAAAAAAAATGGAAAAGTAAAAAGCAATAGTGAGAAAAATCCAACTTTCGGCACGATTTGTAGTACGAAAAATGCCACGTTTTGAGCAACTGTATTAAAAACGTAATAAAAACTATAGGAAATGGACATAAAACTAAAATATATATATATATATATATATATATATATATGGAGTTCATATATATATTATATAGTAACGTAAATAAATAATGCATTGGCCCAGATTACCTAATAGATAGATACTCAGATTTAGTAGGCTAAATCTGAGTAATTACACCATGCGCTCACTACGAGGACAGAGAGACCTAAACTCGCGGTCAGAGGTGAAAATAACGTTGCCCGCCTTGTTTGTCGTGCGGAGCCGAATGCTAGTAAATGAAAAACTTGTGTTAGCCCTTGCGCCGACGTCGGCACACTCGGCGGTAGGCACGTTTCGCGTAATCTTGAACGAGTAACGGGGCCCAGGTATTGCAAATGAGTCTACTCATTACTCATATTTTTATAAAAGCGATGTAACAAAACGAGTAACATATATTATATACTCCTGTACCTTAAGGTAGGGCTGTACAACTGCGCGAACGATTGCTATTCTATGCAATGGTCGCCGAAAATCAAACAATAACACTGTTTAACTTATTCATAGTTGGGACTACAACCAGAAAAGGCTTACTGTTCGACGTAATCGAACACCTCTGAAGTAATCAATTCGCGGCCTGTTCTTTAATGCATTTCAATCATTCATTCAGATCGGGTGCATTCATAACATAATAACGCTTAACGTAAACAATTTAAAACTATTTTGGGCAATAAAGTTTATAAATTTAACCCTAGTTTCCACGACCAACAGCAACAATCATCACTACCCCGGAAACTTATAATATGCCGTTGCATTAGTTCCCAGTTATTTTATGTGACATAATGTCAAATAACCTAACACGACTCTCACCCATTTTACTAAGTAATCCTATAATGCACTGCTGATCAGCAGAATGCAGCACGTCCGTGAGGTTCGTGGCCACCGGCAGCGCCAGTGTGTGCACCCGTATCCTGCGCTCGCCTGCAAAGAAAGCAAATTGGTACATATTAGTTAGAGCAGTCATTGTTGGTTTATTTGAAAAAACAAATACACGCAATTTAGATCTGGAAATGTCTCGTATGTCTCGTTTCCAATGTCTAACATCAAGCATTTTATACTTTTTTTTTTAAATCAAGTGGCGGGACGAACAAGTCGTGCGCCTGATGGTAACATAACAGTTACAGTGCCACCAGCACCCTTACCCTTCAAAACCGGAATAAAGTAATACTGACATTACTGCTTGGCGACAGAAATAGGTGGCAGTACTACCCTGTACACTCTTTCAGGAGCTCTACTGCTATTAAAAAGTTCTAGTGCTAGCCACGGGTCTCCTTTCAGGTGAGGCCTAAACCCTTGTTTAGGCCTCGCCTGCAAAGGATGTGGTACCCGTGGAACACGTGGATCCCTACGCCCTTGAAAAAAACGAATATTACAAATTTATACGTTACATGCACCTGCAAGGAATTATTTCATAAGGAGGCAAATACACACAACGGCACATTTAATGGAACACTAGTGAAATATCCAAAATAATGCAATGATATTTCGAAAATCTGGTCAGTTCTTAATCAACCCATTTATACATCCCACTGCTGGGCGGTTACCGAAGGTTGTGAACCTTCTTTGACATGTAGGTTTCACTAAGACGATTGCCTTCACCGAAAAGCTCATGGTAAATTTCAAATTCAATTAATAACAAATAGATACATATTGATATCCCACAGGCTTAGGTTAACTTGCACATGCAATTCAATTAATGTCAATACTTCTTTATAGGTATGCAAATTACATTATTTTATTTTGAAAACTAACGCGGATATTACACATTATAGTATAAAAGTAACGGGACTTACACGCGTAGTATTTTAGTCGGAAGCGGTCCGGCTAGTTTCAACTATAATCGATGGTCTTCATGAAGACGAAGTAGATGAAGACCATCGATTATGGTTGAAACTATTCGGACCGCTTCCGACTAAACTATTACGCGAGTAAGTCCCGTTACTTTTATACTATAAAATTACATCATTATCACGAACTCGAGAGCTTAGTTCATAGTTCACCAAGCAGACCCAATGCGCGTTGGCGACTTCATTCGTTTTCCAAGGGTCCTGAACCTTATTATTGATGCAAAGATCACGCAAAGAAAGACCTAATGGTTCGTAAGACAGTTTCCCTGCTATCTCCTATGGTTTCGGATTACTGTCGAAGTTTAAAAAATTACACTGTATATGTGATGAGTTTTACCGTTCCTACCTTTACTGCTAGTATAGAGCAAGGCGGCCTGGAAGCAGACCTGCTGCAGGTCAGAGAGCGATTCCTCGATCGTGAGTTGCATGCCGAAGCCGGCGTCTGGTGAAACGTTTGGTAGCGACAGCAGGTCCGTTGATCGCACGAAGAAGTTTCCGTGGAATGTGTGGATTCCTATGCCCCTGAATAAACACGAATATTACAAATTTATAGGTTACATGATAGGGGCAGCTGGAAGGAATTATTTAATAAGAAGGCAAATACACACAACAGCACATTTAACGGAATACTAGTAAAATCTCCAACACATAACTTTTATGTAACAAAACCGAACCTCAAAGTTCGTCAAATACATCTATTTGCCAAGTTTTCTTGAAATCGGTTACCGGAAATGCACGAAACCGGATTCATCCCTTAGTTTGCCACCCTTAGAGGTGGAATATTTCCTTCAAATTTAAATAGGACCAATACTGAGGTACCCTGTTTCTAATAAAAAAAAGAATCATCAAAATCGATTCACAAATGCCGAAGGCCAAAAAAATCCAGTCGAATTGAGAACCTCCTCCTTTTTTTAAGTCGGTTAATAATGCAATGTTTTTTTTCAAAAATATGGCTAATTCATCATCAACCTATTTATATGTCCCACTGTGCACGGAACGCCTCTCAGGTGATGGCTTAGGCCATACTCCGCCACGCTGCGCTGGCCCAATCCGGGTTGGGAACTTCACACATTTTCCGAGTGTTGTGAACCTTCTTCGACGTGCAAGTTTCTTCACTATATTTTCCTTCACCAAAACGCTCATGGTAAGTTTCAAATTAAGTTTTGCACATAAATTCCAAAAAGTCAGTGACGCGAGCCCCGATTCGAACCCACTGCCTCTGCTTTAGAACAAATCTGGAAATTTAAAATATTAAAAAAAACCTTTGTCATCGTTAAAGGAAGGAAACTCACCTCGTACACCGTACCCGCATGACGGCCTCGAAGCCGATCTTCCTTGTAAGGTACCTGGTGAATATCCTCGTGAGCTGATCTGCCTGCCACTGCCGCGATGCCTTAAATAGTGGAAGGTGGTACACTGTGCCAGCACTGAATTTGCTCATGCCACCTGAAAAGAATCAGGAACAGCCAGTTGAAGGACTATTGCAACAATTGCGGCTGTTGCGAACTGAGGCAATAGACAGCAATCAGTAACCTAGGCACACGCTTTCGATAGATCATTAGGATCTTTTAGGCTCAGTGTATATTGCGGCGGAACGGATTGGAACCGAATTTTTGTAACGATATTGTACATAGCATAATGAACTTATGTGTAACAATTACCGTGATGTTTGCGAGATTATCAAAAGTAAATTGCATTTGTGTGCAAATGACTATTCCTTGTCCATTTGTTATATTGTGCTATAGTTTTAAGGGTAACCTATCACAAACTCGAAATTTTTTTGTCCGAAATAACGTTTGTTCGAATTTTCATTACACCGAAAACCGAATTATAAGGAAACAATTGTTCTTTCAGGATATGTTCAATGTTTATCGCAAAGTCACGATTAGGTACGGTTAGGTTGGGTTTAAAAGAAGAAACCTTTTCACCTCAAAATTATTTTCGAGGTTATCAAACGTTATTTCTGGAAAACGTCATTTCGGACTACTGATAGGTAACCAGTTTTAAGTTTATAATGTTATAATATTATATTATAGTATATATTATAGTTTTTAAGCTCATTCATATGTGTCTTAGCGAACACAAAAAATTTTCTTTATTCTTGTAACGTCGTACAAACTAGATACGAGCCAAAATCTTCTGCGGAATTCTCGCGCATGCTTTCGCGGATAAAGTTTATTATGCTATGTACAATATCGTTACAAAAATTCGCTTCCACTCCGTTCCGCCGCAATGTAAATTGAGCCTTACGGTTTCTTTACGATGTGCTTAAAGGACTATTACTTAGTGACATAATAGGACCAGCAAAATCTCTGAGATTACGTCTAGCTAAAAAAAACTATATTTATTCTCAACTTATCTATAAATTCTTCGATTGTGACTATGGCGTTTTCTCGTACTCGAACTTTCGAACTCGTAGCGATTAAACCAGGCAGGAGAACGCCTCCCGGCTATACTACGTTATTACTTCCTACCAAATACATGTCTAAAAAGTGTGAGAAAGTACAAGAAAAACTTAAAAATTGATTGTTGATAAATCTATTATGTTTTGTGATAAGTCATGGGACAAAAGCTGTAGTTTATGATGTTAGTAACATAGTCCGAGATTGTTAGTATTTTAAAAATAACTCTGTATAGTGTGATGTCTAATGTCTAAGGGTCGTATTCTAGAACTCTACTCAATGCTCAAGTCAGGATTTGAGTATGGTTTAAAGCACTCGAAATCATACTCAAGTCCCTGTAAGTGTGATGTAATATTGCGATATAAACGTATTTTTCTAAATCGGACAAAATGGCATTGTACTCATTTGGCAACGATAATAGTTCCATAAGGGTGCGTTTCCATTATGTCGTGACGACCCATAGTAGTGTAGCTTACGTTCACGAACGAAAAAAAGTTTTTGACGTTACGATGACAAACTGTAGTGACAATAGGAAGAGCTATAACGACAGTCGTCCAACGATAAATGTGACGATAGATAATCGCAGCTTCAAACGATTATGTCGTGGAAACGACAAGGCGGCTTCAGTGAAACGATAAATTGTCGTCACGATCTAGTGGGAACAGCTGGACACAACTGTAGTTCAACGATAAAATAATCGTCCACAACAGTCACGACAGATGGTCGTTATATGGGAACAGGCTAGACTCGACAGTCGTCAAACGATAAATAAAACGTTACGACATAATGGAAACGCGCCCTAACAGTTAACACATGGAGGTAAGGTTATTGTTAGTAGTATACTGACTCAGCGAAGCGAGGTCCGCGTACTGCGAGTTGAGCAGGAAGAGGTCAACGGCGACTTGGGCGCCGCTGCAGTCCAACGCTAGGCGCTTGTAGAAGTCCGTGGCCGGCGCCAGGTGGGGCACCTCGCTGCCAGACCGCGCGTTCGGGTCCTCTCTGCGAGGTCCAAACTTATTAACCCTTCCACCGCTACCCAAGTGATACGTGCATATTACGATAGTTCGGGGACGAAAGCGTATTTCGACTCATCCAAAGAACAGAGTCCGATGTGATTATATAGCGAAACGAGGATACGTACGTCACAAGAATAATTTGGTTATTCCAACAAAGGTGTTTTGAGAATTTATATATCTTATTTCGTTTCGGAAATATAAAATCGAACAACAGTCGATCTGACATCCACAGCGACGAAGAACGAACGAAATGTATTATGGTCCTGAAAACAAGTAGTCTTGGACATAGATCTTTGTTCTACGGATGAGTCGATTTATTTGGGTAAAATTTTCTATCTGTTTCTATAATAAGATTCCTTGAAGTAGGGTTGAGAAGTTGACATTAAAAATTTGTCATTCACGTGATTTATATGAAAAAAACCTTTTAATTAATTTGACCCACTTTTGCTGTACCAATGGATTTCGTACCATATAATTAAATGATCCTGACATGAAAAAAAATTTATCAATTTTGTTCATTTTTATGGACAACCAACACTTGATCAAATAATTGACTAAGTATGCCATTATATTTCTATAGAATAAAAAAATAGTTTTATTACTTTATTTATAGCAGTTTTGTTATCTATTAACTTATTGTTACCTCTGTAGGAAAACTAAAGCGTCTCTACGAATGTCATATTAAATGTATGAAAGTGTTTAATGTTAACATTTTGGATATTTCTAGTTTTATTTTTAAAAAAGTTATTGATATCAGTTTAAAGCTTTTTGATATCTTTTATATTTATGGAATAATCGCCTGGGCACACTTAACGATTTCATCCTATATAATTGTTTTCATTTTTAGTTATTTTAATTTCAAGTTGTGGACGAGCATGGCACATGTTGACCTATAAGAGACTTGTTTGCTTTAATCTTGAAAAGTGTTCATAATTACCTCGGTTGTAAAGCTCCTGGTCCTACATTCGGTAAACAGGTCTGGAACACGGTTACGCGACCTCCTGTTGGAGCCTGCAAGGCAGAATCAATGGTTACATAACAAAAACTGAACAAAAGAGAGGGATGAATGGTGACGTCAAAAGTTCACGTAAGTTCCGGATTCAGATGTAATGCGATATGAGTACTGTTTGGCTAATTCTTTCGTATTTATATCTAATAAAATAAACCACAACAAAATAAGTAGGTTTAAGGGTGTGATGTATATATATTTTTGTAATATTCTTAGTGTTTAAAATAAATAAATAAATAAATAAAATAAGTATTCGTAGGTTTTTACCCAATGACAATGACGCTAGTTTTTTATTTTCGAACTTTTTCGAACTTCCCTCATTTTGAATCGTCTTGTAGAGGAAGAGTAATTTCATTACATTCATTTTTGTAGCAATTGAGCGTGTGAAAGAATTCATCCAGAGAAGCACTGCCACCTTACCTATTCCTGCCGCCAAGCAGTAATGTCAGCATTACTGTGTTCCGATTTTGGAAGGTAAGGGTGCTGGTGAAATTACAGGCACATGGGACTTGTCAACTTATGTCTCAGGATGACGGTCCAGTGGCGGAGTCCCTCAGATCTTTGCGATTTAAAACTCTGAGTGGCACCGCAACTGTTATGGACAGGTGTGTAGCTTACCATCAGGCGCACGAATTGTTCGCCCCGTCACTTCATATTACATAGAGCGCACTATAAGTTTCCGGAAATGGCCACTTACATAAACTATATTTAAAAAGTAATTACAACATTTGAAAATTAAACTCTTTGGCTGTAGAATACAGTTTGTTTCATCTGACTGTCACTTGTTTTTACATTGTGGCGTAATTTTAGAAATTGGTTGTCTACATCACCTCGTGAAAATTTTCGTAGTATAATTTTCTACGACTTTAAATGTAATTTAACAGCTCAGCGAGAACTTTTGTCCTTTTATTTTTTTACAATACGTGTTGACTTGACGGACGAACAAGTCGTGTGCCTGGTATTAAGCTTTAAATAATAATCATCTGAGGAGCACTACCAAAGCGCCCTTCATCATGAGACATAAGTTGACAAGTCCCATGTGTCTGTAATATCACCCGCACGTTCATCATTTAAAATCCTGCTTGACGGAAAAAATAGGTAAGGTGGCAGTACTTCTGGGCGAACTCTGTCACAAGCAGCTCTGTCCTTTCTTTATCAAAGCAAAACTAGAGAAAGCATGTTATTTAATTATTCATTTAAGATAACGGATGAAATAAACTCTTACCATGAGCTTGTAAGCTGCCTGCAGCGCCGCTCCCAGCGCGCAGGCCGACACGCCGAGCCCTGAGTGCCTCTGCGGCAGGACCGTCAACAGCTCCTTTATCAGCTCGCGTCTCTCGCCCAGGTTCACCAGCAGCGATTCCGGCGACGGAAGGAACACATCTGATGTTAGGAATTCAAATATCTTTAGTCAATTCTTTAGGTTCATTATTATAAAATTAATATAAAAATATTGTTACATTAACGAAAATATTAAGTACACCTAGAGTTTCCTTAATTTATAATGCAGTTCAAATCTTAAACTCACCCATCGAGTATATAACCAGAACTAGAGACGAAATGTCATTTAATTTGTTTGAAAACTATTCTGCCAAATCATTACGGTGATAACTGCGCTCCGATTGGCCAGCCCGAATTCTAATTCACTTCAAATCGACAAGTTTAGCTTGAGCTTTGCTATAATGGACGAAAATTGAAAAATTACATATTTATTATTTATTTACCGATATTTCATCGGTGATTCAGTTTGTTTAGTAATTAGAGGTTTTGTTGTTTTTCCCACACCACCAAATGGAACAGACCCCCATTGTTAGAGATATTATCTTTATTACAATAAATACAGAATATTTTTACAACTTATTTTTATTTTTACAACTACCTCTGTGGCCGAACGGTTACCATGCCGTACTGCCATGCTGAGGTCCTGGGTTGGATTCCCAGACCGGGAGAAATATGTGTATGTCCTAGATTTATTTCTGAGTTTGGGTGTAATTTGTGTTTGTCTATGTGTGTGTCCATGGCACCCGCGACAAAGGGTTTCTCTAGTGCGGGGCTATGTTGAGTGTGTGCGTTATTATTATTTTTGGAATATACGGAAACGTACGCACAGGTCAGTTGTTGACGCTGTCCTATTTCAGCTTTCTAATTTGTGATTTCAGCGCAAACAAGAGTTGATATTTCAAAGTGATATAACGCCCATTTACCTGATGAGTTGCCAGGAATGTGTTGCCCTTATTTCGTCTCTATTTCTAGTTATATACTCAATGAACTCACCAAACCGCCTCGGCTCCGAACAAAAAAATCTAGACTCGTACTGGCAAGAAGACTATCAATGTAGAACAAATTAGAATAAGGCTTTAATTTTAGTTTTAAATGTTTATATAATTATATCAAAACTCTTTTTTTGCAATAAGGCCGTCTATTGTACCGTGCCTTATATTTATTTTTGTATTCGTTCTGGTGTGTAGTAAAGAATATTATTTTAAAACATGGAGAATTACAATACAAATAGTACAGTAGTTTTAAAGTTGTTTTTAATAATAATTTATAGAGCGACTCGATTACAAAGTGAAACAGGAAAGAACAAATTAACTTAGCTACCCTGCACATTTTTCTAAAACATTTTTTTCTATTACGACCAGAGACGGGCAAGTGCCCGGGTTTTAACCCAGCATTTTGTTAATGCCTGGTCAAAATCGATTTAAACCCCATTAATGCCTGAAATCGAGGGCGAAAACTATTATACAACTAAAAATTTGTCGTAAATCGAGTTTTGTTCAAATTTAATTTTATTTATTTATTTATTCATGGAAAACCAACAGCTATGATACATGTATTAAAAAACAACAAAAACTACAAACTAGCCAATTACAGGTTTTCGCCTATAGTAACAGAGTATAGTAAATATATTAAAGGTACCAGCGCTAATTTAAGTAGAACAAATACACAATAAAAGAAACTTAGCAAACTAAATAATTAATGCAAATTAACAATATCATAAAGAAGTAATTAAAAAAAAAACATAGATCATAAACAAGCTAAATAATCACTAAAAGTTAACCCTCCTGGCATGTCAAATAACTAAAACATCTATCAGTTTACGCTTCACTGCATGCACGCGGCAATTAAATATATCTATGTCAAAATCATTGTCGCTCAACACACCGTTCAAACTCTTAATAGCCCTACAAATAAAACTATTTAGCCTATAATTCGTTCTAGCAAAGGGAAGTGCAATAGGGCAATACTTCCTCGTCGGACGCGAAGGTACCTTAAAAGAAATACGACTCAACAATTCAGAACAGTCAATATCACCATTAATAATTTTCAAAATAAAAACAATATCAGCGATTTTCCGGCGAGTAACAAGCGACAATAGGCGCCTATCATTACAAAGCTGAAAATAATTCGAAGGTAGGCCCATTTTATAACTTAGGAATTTAATAAATTTTTTTTGGACTAGCTCTAATCTGTCCACATAACATTGATATCCCGGATTCCAAATCTGATTTATGATATTATTACAAAATGTTCATTGCTTTATGATCTAGATCTAGAACATTCGATACGCTCTTCTATTGAATCGCTTCGCTTGAAAACCGCATTGAAATAATTCGATACAAAAATAGATCGTAGTTTGCATTTGAATCGATTTTCGTAAAAATCGAAACCTAATGTGCATCCTTAGTTGTGAGATTCCACAGGAATGGAAGGTGGGTATTGCGTGGAGTTGCCACTTTTTCGTCTAAAAATGATTTAATTTACACCCAAATTTGTAATAAGTACGGAGTCATACCAAATTCCGTTTTCGAAGTTTCTGCCTACGATTTTGGGCAGAAATGGATTAAAAACCCGGTTTAACCCGCTGCCCATTCTGGCTAATGAATAGTCCTACCTTCTCGAGTCCATAGTTTCCTTGACCGTGCTTTGGCCTAACCTAACGTCTTCACCGGTAAAGTTAGCTAGCAGTTGGACATTAGTGCCTTACCGTCAACGTCGATGACGGTCATCTCTTTAGGCCTCGTGAGGCCGTCGCTCATGAGGTAGTAGTGCACGTGTGCGTCGAAGCAGATGAAGCCCACCTGCGTGCGCGCATCGCCCGGCAGTTGATCCAAGTTGTTCTTTAATGTATTGCACACCACCTGGAAAAGGAACAACGCTACACTAACTCCGTAGGTATATTTGTATTATAATACATCTAATGAGATTTTTTTGTGATATCAAGCAACTACACGAAGTCCATAACAGTTGTAGTGCCAATCAGAGCTTTAAATCGCAAAGATCTGAGGGGCACTGCCACTGCGCCTGTCACTCCGAGACATAAGTTGACAAGTCCCATTCAAAACTAGAACATAGCAAAGCTGACATTACTGCTTGGCTTAGAAATAGGTAAGGTAGCAGTACTTCCCTGGATTCTTTCACAAGCTCTACTGCTACTAAAAAGTTCTACTGTTATTATGTACTCACTAATGTTTGGCTTGGATGCAAAATCACACTATATTTATTTCATTGACAAGAAAATTACACTTGAAATCGTCAAATTGAGTAAGCTCATTCATTCGTAAGGCAGATTTCCCCGAGAAGAATGGGTAAGAGTCAAAGATTATTTATTCCATAGGTAAAATAAATTTACACTTGAAAACGTCACATTTAAGCTACTGCTCGTTCACTACGCTGACCTCCCTGAGAAGAACGAGCAAGACACTCTAGGGATTGCTCTTTTCAAATAAACTTAAATGCTATGGAATACACTTTGAATCAAATTTGTGTGGATTCTGGAGCCGTGTCGTCTTTCCATACATCTTTATTTACACGTAGTCTTCGATTTTGTAATATGATTTTTCGATCAAAATATTTTTAATGTAGTCTTTCAACTTAGGAAATGATAAAACGTACACAGTTATAAAAGTGTTGTTTACCTTGGTTAAACGAAATCGTGCTACCATGAGTTTGGACTTAGCTCTAAGGTTAATATTATGGATATCTTCTTTCTTATTGAAATTATGTACATTTTTATGGGCATAAAATATTTGAGTAAATGTACTGTGATGCCACAGTCATGATACCAGTCTCCTTAAACTTTCTCTGAGAGAAACCCGAGAGCCTAGACGGTACACAGAACGAATCGCTCGTTTTTGCAATACAAATATGGTTTGAATATCTGCCGCTTTACCCCACATGAGAATCCCGTAGGACATTATACTATGGAAGTAACTAAAGTAAACTAGTCTAGCATTACTAACATCGGTGAGCTCACGTATTCTGCGGACTGCGTATGCAGCGGAGCTTAATCTGCTGGCCAGGGAAGATATATGTGGAAACCATTGAATTTTACTATCTAAGGTCACTCCCAAGATGACTGCTTTATTATTAACAAGGCCTAACTTTTCTCCGTTTATTTCTATGCTTGGACTAGTCGATTTTATGTTAGGTAATTCAAATTTAACAAATTTTGTCTTTTTGGCATTAAGCAATAAATTGTTAGCATTAAACCAATAAACTACCTTAGAGAGGGTATCATTACTAGAAACTCTAGAGGTTGGTTATAATTACACATTTGCTCAATGCTTAAGCGTCAAACACACAGAGGACGAGTGCGGGTCGGGTCGGGACCGTGGCAGTTCTAAATCCGTGTTTTTATATGGACGACAAAACACGGAGCGCGGGTGCGGGACGGACACGAGACGGACACGAGACGGGCGCGAGACGGGCGCGAGACGGGAGCGGGGCGGGCGCAGAACGGGCGCGAGACGGGCGCACCCGACCGGCACCCGCTCTGTATATTTCACACTTTATAGTAATACCAATGTGAAAAAGTTGACAAGTTTATAGTTGTACAATATTATGGCAAATGCTCAAATCGAAAACAATTGTTCCGACCACAACTTTTTTTTTTTTTATTAAACAACTGTAAACAACAGAATAAATGTTTCATTCTTTTTTTCTTACCTGCAAGTATCCAGAGTCTCGTGCAAGCTGTGACACATCCAATAAAAATAGATAAACCGCAGGCTGTGGCGGGCGTAGCATGTATTCACCAGGCGCGATGAACTCAATGGTCGCCGATTTGATCTCGGGCCGTCGCGACGGATCACCGTACGATTTGCTAACTGGATCGTATTGGAATTCTTCGGGCACTGATAAGGTTAACAAAATTGACATTCAAGGCTAGAATGAATAGGTATTTTTCACATCAACGCCTAACTTGTTATTGTGCATACGTAAAAGAAAAAACATTTCTCTCTGTTTTTTAGTAAATAGACAACGTAAGTGGCTAGAGGGACAATACATTTTTTAGATAAAAGCAAACCGTTACTGGTCACACTGTCGCTTAATTCGGTGAGATTGTGTCTGACTGAGATGGTAAATATTTTAATATCCATCCCGCATTTGAGATAGATTTATTATTAAAGGAAGCTAGTAACTCACAGTCATTGACTCGATAGCAGAGATTACACTTCCAGCGCTTGGCGTCAACGAAGTACACGAAGGGGTTGATGTAGGTGCGGCAAGCACGGCACCGGACTATCGTCGTGCATTGAATCACGGGAAGGTGCTGGAATGCAAGCAATTAATTTTTTTTAAATTTGGCAACTAAATAGACTTCCTCCACTCACTAGACACTTATTCCTAAATCAATCATAACTTATGACTGCTAAATATATACTTATACCTAAATCAATCATAAGCTCTGACCACTAAATAGACACTTATACCTATATCAAACATAAGCTTCAATTACTAAGTAGACACTTATGCCTAAATCAATCTTAAGCTCTGCCAGCAAAACAAACCGTTTTCCACAAGATGTAAAGTTGACTAAATGAGTATCTTGCAATAATTAGATATTAATATTGATTAGATATGATTTCCACGAATTAGTCCTAATCCTCTCGTAATTTCTTGCTCATTTACATAACATGGCAAACATGCAAATGTAACTTTTTAATGTGAGAATATATATTCTTAAATAATTTCAATATAACTATTTATAGTACAGTAATTAAAAAAATAAACATATATATCAAGCGATCGAACGACTAAGTCGTGCGTATGCGACACGCCTACTTGTTACAGTTGCAGTGCCACTGAAAGCCTTTAATGGAAAATATTTGAAGGGCACTGCGCCCGTCACCCAGATATATAAGTTAACAAGTCCGATGCCTGTAATTTCACCAGCACCCTCAATCTTAACATGACCGCTAAGCAGCAGAAATAGTTATGGTGGCAGTACTTCTCTGGATCTCTTTCACAAGGGCTCTACTTGGACTAAATGTTATGCCTGGTTTAGTTTTCTGGTTGTTATTATTATAGTGAATGTTAGTATATTTACTGGCATTTAACGTAAATAGACAATAAACTTTCAATATGTTTGCATGCCTAACGCTGAGCGGGGCGCTCTAAAGCTATACTTGTTTTGTTGCTATTAAATTCTATACATATGTGGATTTAATGTAAACTTACGTTAAGATCCTTGAAGGGGTGTATTAAAATTCCTAAAGGTAACCTGGACTTCTGCAGCAGGCTGTTTGTGTCCGGAATCTTGTTAACCGTACATCTGAAGATTCTGTGGACAGGATACGAAAAACAATTAGACGGAAAATCAAAATAAATAATCCTCTCAAGGGTTTTTTAATGTTACTAAATTTTTCTTTTATATAATATCAAGTGACGGGACGAACAAGTCGTGCGCCTGGTGGTAAGCTACACGCCTGTCCATAATAATTGCAGTGTCACACAGAGCTTTAAATCGCAAAGATCGAAGGGTACTGCCACTGCGCCTGTCACCCTGAGACATAAGTTGATAAGTCCCATGTGCCTGTAATTTCACCAGCACCCTTCAAAACCGGAACACAATAACACTGACATTACTGCTTCATTACTTCCATGGACGAACTCTTTCACAAGGGGCTCTACTAGTAATCTCAATCTCAACTCGTTATTTTAACTAAGTGCCATTGGCCGTTTAAACATTCATTGTAGTGAGTAACCCTAGACATAATAGACACTCTTGTCTTTAATTTGTCTATTACACACGCACGCACGGACACACGCATGAACGCAGCCACTAGTATATTTATAAGCACCTCAGTCATAAACAGCTTTATGTCCATACAATAAGAGCAAAAAGAAAACTTGCACGTTTCGTTTCCGCTTGAACCGTCTCGTCGACGCGAAACACGCAATTTTTTTTCCGTTATTAAAAACTTTGCTCTACCGGGAATCGAACCTGGGACCTTCTCATCTAGCGCCCACATTGGTAACCATAGCGGTAACCATCACAGACAAAAAATTTTGTTTATGTTGATGCAAACAGGCAATTTATTAAAGTGCTTTTCATATGATAAGCCAGTTAACTTTGTAGATACAGTACCTATATTATGTAACCTTAGGTAGGTGTTGGAGAAATGATAGATAAAACCGGCGTGTCCGTTTTGTATATCTAGTATATACAAAACAAGCATATTAATAAAGTAAATTGTTTTGATTTCTGGGCAATTTCATACGAGCAATTTCATGTATCACCTACGTATCCTACCTACTAAACTATGTGACTAAAAAAAGGCATATAGGAAAAAATTTATTATCTTCATGAACTTCCCGATATGACAAAATGATTATTTTTAACAAGAATCAAAACATTATACTTAATAACTACATTTAAAGATAATATAATTTTCAATTTATTTTTATCGTGAAAAATATTATAGTGGCTTAATAAAGAAAGCCAGGTATATATATCTATATTTTTGTAGTACACTATTTTCACATATCACAGTACTATCCTCCAATCGTTTGGTCAGCGCATACATTTCGTACGACGAGACGAGACGTTAAAATTGACATATCTATTTTTATTTGTCAACAGATTTAATGACATAAAAACTAAATGTTAGTCCAAGTTTATCTCAATATATCACCATAAACCAAATCGAAATTGGTTCAGCCATTTTAGGTATCAGCGTGCACAAAAGGTTCAATAGCGTGTAGTAGGTACATTTATTATAAAATATTAGAGTAATTATTGTGTGCGACGAATTTTAGTAACTTTTACATATTTTTTTTTTATTCCCGTAAAAATCAATGTAACTAACTACTGATGCACGCTTGCATGGTAGATCGAAATTCTGTGTCAATTTTACAAAAAAACAAAAAGAATACCTATTTTACAAAAAAAAACTTTGCTTTTCAAAAAAAGAAAATATGCGCATTTAAAAATATACGCGCACATTTTATTTGGGTTTACTTAAGATAAGAGATTATGAAAATGATATGGATCCGCATTGACATAAAAGTGTTCAATGGATAACACGTCAGAATCCATTTTTGTTTACAGCGTGTACATAGTTTTATTTGTTGTTTTCCTCCTATGTTAAATCCTTGAATGATAATAAGAGGCCAATAGATACTTCAGGAAAAATCTAATTAATACAAATTAAATATAACATTTGTTATACATCAAGTGGTTAGGTTTTCGCGATTGTTACACATAGGAAATTAGGTTTCATCAACGTCGTTTCATGACGTCGAAGACAACACTCGAAAAACGCGTGAAGTCCCCAACACGTGTCGAGTTCTTAAGTTTTCCCGATTGTTACACATAGGAAATGAAATTACTTTTCCGGATTTAAATCGCGATAAATTTAGTTTATTCTAATTTCTATTATTAATTAATAATAAATTGAGCTTAATACAAATTCATTCAATAAAATAATTTGTAAAACTGAATGTAGCGTAAATTGGAATGTTTTCTTTGTAAAATTAAAAATAAGGTATTTAATTAATAACTATTGTGACTATAGTGGAAAAAATAGGGTGGTTTGCATCAATATTAGACATAACTGGTTGAAGACTATACCATCTCAATCAACCGTGACCATGGGACCTGTAAAGGGCCCGAAACGTCGGTGTGTTTGAAAAAACAAAAATACGCGATTTAAATCTGGAAAAATAGTTTCATTTCCTATTAATTTTTGTGGTTTTTCAATAAACCGAATGTAATTAAACTGGAATTATTTTAATTAATGCCTATATAAGTAGTATTAAAATATTCTAGATTTTTATTTGTAGTTTTTCCCCATATGTGCATGTGTGTTATTTTTGTGTTCCTAATCATTACATGCTAAGGCAGAATATAATTTCATGTGTTTCTTTTATTATATTATATTTACTTTTCTATTTTATTTGCACGTCGTTATGAAGCTAATTTGGAGTGTAGCTATGTAAGTTTTTTTTTATTTTTGTTTTCTTAAGTTTATTCATATTTTATTAATTTCATGAACTATTTTTTTTTATCCAAATCGCTCATTTTTTTTTTCAAACAAAGTTGTTTACAGGTCCCATAGTCGCAGCTCATTCAAACTTCGACTGACTGAGTACTCCACGTTATTTCACTAGTTTTACTCTTAAAATCACTTCTCCTCAACACTCGTTAACTCTCTTTTTTATTTTCTATTACTTCTCTTTGTAGAAATATAAAATTTATACTAAATATCATGTGCAATGTACTCCAGCTTTCATACATATTCATAAATTAATTAAATTAAAGGCTTTGAACATTTGAACTGTTCTCTCGTAAGTGGCGTAGAGTTAAATTTAATGAGATCTTAAATTTAGTCAGATGTAATGTTCTCCATATCTATGTGGGTCGTTGCATACGTAAGAAACTGCATATAGGGTGTAAGAATAAGGTCCGACATTATTTCAGCTGGTGATGGACGTCTAAACAAATAATCATAGCAAAAAAGAAATGTTTGAATGAATGAAAAATTATTTTTTGCGCATTGAAAATTACTGACAGCACAGAACAATAATAAAATATATTAGAACAAGCTAATGTATTTGACTAAGAGCACATGTTACTTGACATTGAACTTTGAACCATTCGTATAGCAAGCAATGTTGAATTTGAATCTTAAATGGCCCATTGACTACCTGCATGGGAGTCTGCTGAGCAGACAGGAAACTGCTCACACACTATCCTCATCCCGCGTATGGCCTATGTATGGAGTCTCGCAGAACGCATTGCAGCATGGCTTGCACGCTGCGACTATATTCATAATCCCTCATTACGGCGGCAGGATGATCAATGCCTTTTAGTCAAGCTTGGCGTACTCTTAACCCTTGAGAGATGGGTTTATTATAAGGATAGAAAACTATTGAATGCAAAAGAGGTGCAATCAAAGAATACTTTCTAATGCACTATAATTGTTGAATTATAGAAATTATTGAATACTAAATAATGTAATGTATAACTATAATATTCGTAAACGGAATTCTGTTGCGTAAATATAATGTCAAATCAGGTGTCATTCGCATCAAGCGTTTTTAAATTTGGTCGAGTATTTATTACTTTTTTAATAGTAATTGTTTCGGAAGGATGTCGGAAGGCGAACAGGAGAAGACCACCTGACACTAGCTAAAAATATGGTCGGACTATTTTTGCACCCTTTATACAATACAATAACCTATAAATGCGACTCATTTAAATTGTAGATTAATTGTAGATTGAGTTAGAAACTATTTATGCAAACTAATGATACATATTTTCCAGATATAAACGTGTATACGCTCATTGAATAATTTGAGGATTTTGACTCATTCGATAATTAACTTGGAGGTAGATTCAATCACATTGTTGATCGCGGATGAACTAATACCTCTTAAGACGCTGTGCAGACAAAGTTCTTTGTTCACGCTGCTGTCCTAAATACTATTTTAACCATATCGATAGCATAGCTAGTACAAAATCGTTCCAGTAAAGCCCATTAAAATTAAGCATAAGTATCATTTGATTTATTTGCTAGATGTCAAAATAATTAAACTATGTCGGTCTCTGAAACACAACACTTCTCTTTTAACTTGACACCACCATCTCCCTGTACAATAGATATTGTTAGATAGATGTGTGTAATTCTTGTTTAATAAGCACTTTTTTTACATGCAATCATGACCGTGTCACTAAAACAAATAATGACTAAACTTGTTATTTAACTGACAATAGTGTTGTACGATTGACAATAACAGAAAATTTAATACAATCAAAAATGGTGCAACAATGTACACATGTTATGTCATAGAATTCAAAGAATATCACATTTGCACAATGTAGGTTTACAGCAAAATTCTGTATCTGTGTCAACCCATTTATGTCCCGCTACTGAAATTCCTCTAAAGCGTTATTAAGTTTGTCTTTACCTGTACTTTACTAGTTTTATAGATATGAGAGATTATACAACCCAAAGTATAACAAAGATATCTTTGTATTCTGATAAGGAAATTAATTGTTCAAATTCTTACTTATTGTTCAAGACCATAATAACAACTGTTTAAATATGCAAGTAGCGGCGACACAAAGAATATATAATTTCTTTGAAAATAATTTGTGATCAATTTTTCAGGCAGTCTTAGTCCTGTTAAATAGTATTAAAAATAAATCAACTATTTTTTCTGTTTTCTTCTCTTTTTCACATGTGTAAGTCAAATTAATGTATTTTTCTTTCTTTACATTAAAATATTTAACAAATGTGTGTAAGCCCCAGTCCTAGATATAGAGTCCCTGATACAGCTTAACATAGGCTAAGGTCTACCATTCTAACGCAGTGCAGATTATGTATTTTAAATATCTGAAAAGTTGATGGTAGTTTGAACTTCATGCTGTTTCCTCGCAATATTTTCCTTCAGTATTCTATAATGCTAGTAATGCTCGATTTGTAAATAAACTCATATATGCTAAATGACTATCACCATTCACAGTAATCAATCACAAATAAATGATGATTCTTTGTGCATTGTCTAAACAGAAATTTATAAAGTAAATACTTACTCAGGACTGCAATTTGGTGCATCAGAAAACTGATGTCCCAGCCGAATCTCAGGTGGATCCTCGAGGTATTCTGGCAATATCTGTCTGCAAGTCATCAAGTCTAACATCTGGTGACCCCACAGCTGATCAAACCCTTGCTTAGTCACACTCAACTGTGACATTTGCTGATTCAAACTCTGAGCATTCATTGCATATGGAGGCTTTCCTAAATTTGTTTGAAGCTGATGGTTGGAATAGTTAGTTTGTGGCATTTGTGGATATCGACCTGGTATGTTACTTTGTGGACCACTTGCAGGCTCTGGCGGTGAACTGACAGGTGATGGCCCCATTGGCAATAATTTTTGTCCCATATGTGCATGGTGTGAAGTTTGATTCATGGGTGGTGCTTGACTATAAGGTGGCCCTTGATTCATTGGTGGACCTTGATGTATTTGGGGTCCTTGGTTCATTGGAGGCCCTTGATGCATTGGTGGACCATGACTAATTGGTGGTCCTTGATTTATAGGTGGTCCATGATTTATAAGCTGACCTTGGTTTATAGGTGGACCTTGATTTCCAGGGGATTGATTCATTAATAGACCTCGGTTAATCGCAGGCCCTTGGTTTATAGTTCCTTGAGTTGTAGGTGGCGCCATAAGTGGATTTAGTGGCCCACCTAATGGAGGTCTAGAAGGCCCCATAGGTAATCCCGGAGGGCCATTATTATGTGGTCCTGCATAGGCTTGGCTAGTTGGTGGTTTGCTCACCTCTGGTGGAGCTGTTCTATGAAATTGACCGGAAGGCACAGTTGGCATTCCTGGAGGTCCATTAGAGTTGCTTGCGACTGTCCCACTAGCAGGTGGCGGTCCTAAAGGGTTAGGACCATTCACACCAATTGGTCTTGTGGACCCGAATGGAGGACCGCTAACAGCACTTCCTAAAGGTCCACTCGTTGAAGATACTGATGTTGGGGGTCCAGATGGTGGTGCTGCAGACATCAAAGGGCTATTTCTATGTGGCCCCAACTGTGGTGGCCCAGAAAATGGTACATTTGCCTGAGTTGTCATTGGAGTAGGACCTGGTGGCTTCATAATGGAAGGACCTTGTATTGGAGGCCCTTGCTGGTATGGTGGATTTGATAACCCAGGTGGAAAAGCTGTGCTCGGTGGTGGTCTATTGACCATAGGAGCAAAAGCATTAGAAGATGGTGGATAAGGTGTAGGTTGGGAGAATGAAGCAGGAGGGCCAACCATAGACGGCCCATTCACAAGAGATTGACTAGATAGTGTGAGGGGTGGAGCATTGTCATTAATCTGTCGCTGTTGAGTATTAGGGGGATATGGAGAAGTGGAGGCACTGGAATTAGGAGTTGTTGCCACCCTAGCCATAGCTGGGGAAACACTAGAAGGTGGTAAGTTTTGAATAGGGCTTGGAGCCATGGGTGGTTTCATTGGAGGCCTCATTGGAGATGATTGGTGTCCTGTAAGAGAAGAACTCATCATTCCCGGGTGGTTAAAAGCTGGTGAACTACTAGCACTATGGGAGTAATTGTTCAGTTGGCCCATGGAATGGTTTAAAGTTGTGGAGGACGGCGGGAGAGGGCTGTTTGAATTAGCATCTTGTTTCTGTCCCCCATAACCCGGTGGCAGCTGGCTCAATGGCACCTGACTCAACGGCTGGTTGTGGTTCGAATACGTCCCCGGGTTGGCGTTCATCTGGGGCGATGTTGTGTCGTAAGGGTTTGGTGGCAAATTAGACATGGCTTGGCAATCTGTAAACAAGTCGTGAGTATCTTAAAAAACTTAATACAATGCGCAATATATAAAGTAACACTAATAACAGTCTGTTATGTTTGAACATTGATAAAAATACTGATATCGACGAGGATATTGAACTAAACACGAACTAAACATGCTAATTCACTACAGCTACGATGACGGATGGGTGATGCATAATGCGACTTACCGTGGTCAGAACGATGTTGAAACACAAAAAATTCGTATACGCACTTTTTAAATTACTAAACCATTCTCACATATTACTTCAAGGATTAAAAAACGTAATTTTTACTAATAAAACGTCAGAAAAATACGACCCTGACTTACGTGGCTGAGCAATTTACAGCGCCCCCTACAGACATAATTTTGACATGTCACGTCATTGTAACGCGTTTGTCAAATAGTCTATTACACTTGTAAGGCAGAAAGTAATACCACATTACAAAAGGCAGATTATATCTCTCGTTCACACGATGTTATCTAAGCCATTTCTGTTCGTGAATCGTGACCGAACGACCAACGACCAGTATTAAATTTTTCGTCGGACCAGGCTCAGACGCTTAAACCATACTGCCAAATGTTACATTTTAATTTGTTTTCAATTATTTAATCTTCGTTTCAACTAAATTTGTAAAAAATCCGCAAGAACGAACAACACAAAAAACCGTTTTATTGTTCGTAATTCGTAACAATTACACTATACAACACCAAAGAGTAAATATGTAGAAGTCGCCACCTAACAAATATATGAAGAACTAATAACGCTTGTTAAAACGGTTACAAGCTAGATGGCGCTACGTGGCTCAAACATTTAAATAACATTATAGAAACAAATTTTGTATTTTTACTTGCATAATCGAAATAACCATTTTCTAATCGAACTCAAGCTAAACTAGTAAATAAGCAGTGTTCTTATTTTTTTACTATCACGCACAAAATATAATATCCCTAACGACAGGAACTGTAGTGAAACAATAAAGAAAGATTGATACGTTTTTTAATCTTCCTCTTTAAGCTCGGAGATTATTAATGTCAGTAAATGTAACCTTTGGAGCCTATCTGTGACAATTCTTCATCACTATGTCTTTTCCACTTATTCGACCTAATGGAGTCCAATTTGCAGCAGACATTAGTATTTTGGTTGTCGATACCACCTATTAAAAATGCCTCAGCACGCTTGTAATAAGCGCGCGATAGGCACCTATATTTACAGTGCGCGATCACAGTATAGCAAAGAAACAGTATGGCTACTGTTTACTATCCGTTAACAAATTTATTAAACGAATTATACAGTAGGTGTAATTAGATACCTAAAATCTTGCCCAGTAACGTTTCTTGTATAGTGGTTTATGCGAACGGACCACTGCGTCACAGAATATATGTAATACAATAATCGAAGTATGATTATAATTTTACAATCTCCTAATTGAACATAACGCTAACGTTACTACGCCACGATACTACGACGCTACGAAATCGTAATAAAAAATATTAAAATTCATTTTTGCTATTTTTGGAATAAATGGCGTATATTATTTTAAGTACCAGTGCTTATTAATAGTTTAAATAACAATTTAATTTGAAATTTGCCATGAGCTTTTCGGTGAAGGAAAATATTGCGATAAAACCTATACGTAGAAGAAGGACTTCGGAAAACGAGTAAAAGTTTCAAGCCCGCATTACGCCAGCACGGCGGACTATGACTTCGATCCTCGCCTGAAAGAAAACCTATGGCCTGCAATGGGAGGTATAGATGGGTTGATGATGCTTATTAAATAAAATATACTTTTGTATATAGTGTTCTTTTCTAATTTTATTTCTTATTTTACTAAATTAAACTCCATTGAGTTCAGCGAACGTTCGCCATTTTTTTTAAATGTATGTTATATTTTTCAAAATTTCGTATTTTCGTATTGTAGTATATAGATAGATGCTTCTAAAACAAAAAAAAAGCTATTAAAAAGAAATCACTTATTCACCAATTTACTATATCCTCTTCGCCTATTGATTTTGCTGAATAATAAAAAACACGTAGGTAGCTAAGTGGTAGCCATATTGTTTCTTTATTACAGCACGTATTAACGTATTACACGTACACGTATTAACGTACAACACGCTTATAGTATCTCTTAAGCGTGCTGTACGTTAGAATATCGAGTGTGCTGTAACGGTTATAGGCTCTTAATCATAAACAAGCCTCAGCACGCTTATGTGATACGATAGTATAGCGTTTGTGCTCATGAGTAGATGACATCGTCAGCCAAAATGCGAATGCTTGCGGGCAAACGGACCCCAATTACTCTTTCGATTCTGTTTTCTTCCTGACTCAGTTGTTAAGAGTCAATATTACATCAGGCACTGATTTTCCAGAATTAATTTTTTCACAAACGAAAATAAAGCCATTTAAAAAATGTATGTCTTATACATATATAGTATACGTGTTCTGTTGATATGAAAAAAAAACATTGGTATGTGTTAAGTACCTATTGAATATAGCGGTTTTCGTGTAATTCACACCGTATACTAATCGGCGCACATCCGCAATTTTATACTAAGACATTTTTTCCCAAAGTGATTGTTTCAACACAGTATAAACTCTTCATCAAACTTGTACTCATTGTATTTGTTTCGTAGAGAAAGGAAAAATAATACAAATACATGAATTCAAACATCTGTATTTCAATGACATTTCAAATCAATGATTTAGTCGTAAACAAAATTTTAACAAAGTTCTGCGTCAGTAAGTTAAGGATTGATTGGATAAAGCCACCAGATCGAGTGAAAAAAAAAAGAAAAAAAGAAAAAATATATAAGTGAATTACATTTTTGAAATCTAATATGAATGTTTGTGAATGCAAAGGGCACGACGCCACGTGGGTGGGAGCTACGCGATCTTTGTCCAATCAACTTTGTACGCAGGGTTACAGTCTAGCAGCACTACGCTTAACATTACTTCAACATTTCATTCTTTCAGCAATATAAAAGTATTCAAACTGATCACAATGTTATGGCAGTTCCATGGAACTCCATGCAACACGTCACCTAACACAGTTCCAGACAAAATATATGACAATTTCAATCTATCAGTTGCCAAGTGTCCTCCTGCTAAGAATCAATTGAAACACTACAAGTTCATTAGGTTACGAAGCGAAATTGTCCTTAATCGTAAGTTTTAGACGATTCCGGCGGTCACGCGCAACTACGGCGTACACTTGCACATCTCAGCGAAAATGTCACATACTGCCTCGTCTCGCATCAATATAGGTCGATTCACTCTTACTTAATGAGATGCGGTTTTTCCATCGTTGGTAAAAAATGCAAAAACAATCACATAACAGACTAGTATCCGAAAACGCTACAGAAAATAACAAAATTTATATTTATTGCGAAACTGATAGGCCACGAAAGAAAGGCATCACACAAATAAGCTCAATTTCAATCGGCGGATTTCATAAATCCAAAAATAATTATTTTTTTATTCGTAGACAATATAAAGTACGTAGATCGGCACAACTATCTCGATATAATACGATTTTATCGACCGCGGGCGGTCCGGCGGCGCGGCGGCGCCCAACATAAACTCACAAATACTCTACATATCGATAAAAACTATTCAGTCGTTTTTATTTATTCATAAAAATATATCTTTAAAAGGCTCAAATAAAACCGATACAGCTCTACGGGGACCGGTCACGGGGCGATCGGGGGTTATCACTGGCGGGAGGCGTCCTCGGCGGGGGCGGGCGGCGCTAGTGCACGGGCAGCGGCGCCGGCGCGGGCGCCGCGGCCAGGCGCCGGCGCAGCAGCTGCGACTCGGCGGGCGGCGACAGCCCCAGCGGCGCGTCGCTCTGGCGCGCGCAGCTGCGCGGCAGCGGCGGCTCGTCGGCCTCCAGCTCGGGGATGGGCGCGGCGTCGGCGCTGGGGTAGCACGACTTGCTGCAGCGCAGCGCCGCCGGCGGCCGCTCCATGTACGAGTAGTTCATGGAGAAGTGCTGCTGGATGACGCGGTTGACGGCCATGGCCGACTCGGCGAAGTTGGACAGGTTGCGCGCCGACATGTTGCGCTTGATGTTGGCGGGCGTGTGCAGCGCGGGCGCGAAGGGCGCGCAGTCGGCGCGGCGCAGCCAGCGGTGCTGCAGCACGCGCTCGGCGCTCAGCCGGTGCGACGCCTCGCGCACCAGCAGCTGGCGGATCAGGTCCTTGGCGTCCTCGGAGATGGCGGCCCACTCCTCCTCGGGGAACGAGTAGCGGCCCTCCTGGATGGACGAGAACAGCAGGTCCTGGCAGGCGCGGCAGTTCTCGCCGCGCTCCCAGCCGCAGTCGGCGCCGCAGTCCGCGCGGAACGGCGGGTAGCCGCACAGCAGGATGTAGGCGATCACGCCCAGCGACCACAGGTCGCAGCGCTTGTCGTAGTGCGCCGCCGCCGAGCCCGCGAACAGCGACACCACCTCCGGCGCCATGAACTCCGCGCTGCCCACCTGCGGACGACGTCACCCCATTAGTCGGCCCGTCTTTTCGTTTAAGCCAAGCGCCAGTAGGCGTTACATTCCGCCCGGGTGATAACTGTGTAAATGTTTGCGACGAGCGTTCTGTTTTGTCTACGCCTCGAACAATACCAGTGAAGACCCGCACGTTTCGCGAAAGGTGACGACGTATTGAACGAGCTACGTAACTCGTGGAGACTCGTTGTGGGGCTTTGCATTGTTCGCGCTGAACATCTGTTATTAACGATTACCTTTATGCGAAAAAACTACGAAGAAGTCTCCAAATGTTTCAATAACACTATAATATCTGAATAGCTTATCGCATTAACATTTTAATGTAAAAAAACATTATTCATGAAAAGTAAATAATATTCTTATCCAATGATTAGTCAGTCGATTATTGTACTTATTGATGTATAAGTAATACCCATACTCAGTAATTATTATATGATATAATATAGTATACAACGTTTATACCGTATCAGGTTAATTACTTTTTAATGTTATTTATCATTTTTCGGATAAAACCGTATCACGCGCAAACAAGACGGAACAAGACGTGCAAAATTAATTCATGATTCATAATGATTATTTGTGAAAACACAGGTAATGGATAAAAAATACTAACCGGAGTCATTAATTGCGGCGTAGCTAACGGGCTGGCAAGGCTCGATGTGAAGCTGATGCCGCTTCCAAGATCAAAATCGCAGATCTTCACAGGGCAAAGTCTGTCGCGATGCACGCACAGAATGTTCTCAGGTTTCAGGTCTCGGTGCGCAACGCCCTTGCCGTGAAGGAAATGCAGGGCGTTGGCGAGTTCACGCACGATTTCAGCCGCTTGGGGCTCCGAGAAGTAATGGTGCTCCTGAATGCGAGAGAGGAGCTGTCCGCCGTTGATCTGGAACAATTGAAACCTTGCTTTACAAATACAATTCAAATCTGTTTTACACAAAAGACAGGTTACGACAGACGTTAGTAGCAGTAGAGCTTCTTGTGAAAGTGTTCATCCATGGAAGTACTGCCACCTTATCTATTTCTGCCACCAAGCAGTAACGTCAGCATTACTGTGTTCCGGTTTTAAAGGGTAAGGGTGCTGGTGAAATTACAGACACATGGGACTTGTCAACTTATGTCTCAGGGTGTCGGGCGCAGTGGCAGTGCCCCTCAGATCGTTGCAATTTACAAATCTTTGCTCGAGTGGCACAGATAGGAGATATTATTATAAAAAAGACGGACTTATTGCTAAATAGAAACATCGAAGTGACTGGAAAACCTTAAATAATAATAATAATCCCCTTGATATCAGAGTCTTGATTTGTCGCGGTTAGCAATCAAAAGCTAACGTCACACGAAGAAAAAAAAAACGGAAGTTTTCAAAATTTATTTAGCTTAATCGACTTGAAAATAAAATATTAAATATCTCTTTTATTTCATATCGCCCCATCTCATCACTAAGTCTGTATTTGATATTTTTATCATCGCTGAGTAGGCGGATCGATCTTACCGAGCGTTCAAAAGCCTGTTGTGCTTATACCCAGGCTGGCGTACGATGCTGATAATTTGTGTTAATTCTATGAGTACTAAGCGGTCATTAGAGCACTTTTTTAATAAAACTGATATTCGTCTATAAATACGTCACAAATTAATTGAGATAACGGTTGATATTTATTACATAATCAGATAGTCATCTGCTAAATTAGATTTGAATTAAATGAGATGTGAACGCTCGGATAATTTTCACGTCGAGTGGCAATATTAAGTTGTTGGTTTTGACCTGCTTTGCATCAAATTTTAATTTACACACCTCGTGTCGAGTCTTTGTAAGACGAGTACATTCGCCTGTGGTTTAATCTGTACACGTCGAGAAGTTAAATATTAATTGAAACATAAAACATTTTGAAACATGATGAAAAAATTATTTACATAGTACGATTCAAAATTTCATTATAACCGTCAACCCATTTATACATCCCAGAGGGTTTATACCAAAGTGCGCCACGCCTGGCTCTTAGCGGGTTGGGGATGTCACACGTTAATCGTTACTAAAGTTCTTGAAGCTGTTGAACGAAGTTTTCCTTCACTAATACCGAGAGGTACCTCTACTAAAGTATTCACAAAATGTAGGTACGTAAATTAGAAATCTGTACGTGCCGACACAGGGATTCGAACCCTAGACTTTTCAATGTGCTACCACCGATCTTATTGTTATCAGCGGCGAAATTGGCAAATGATTTTATGTTTTTTACTTTATGATAGATACCAAGAGACGAAAATAGCTAAGGTGGTAGGTAGTACTACCATTTTTGTATTATTTTTACGCATACATATTGATACAGGCGACTGTACTCAGTGAGCTTTTTAGAAAGGTAAATAAATACACGTCTTATATCCCCAGGGCTTAGCGTCTGGCGAGTTGCCGGACCAATAATTTTGTAGCAATCCTTCGTCGGTTGCCGACTCTGACCTACTTCCACTGCTTCTCTAAACAATATCGATTTAAATCAACTTTCGACTAAGCCTTGTTTATTATTATCAGTGATCCGAATATATAACGTTTAATTGCCTAAACTTTACTCGTACACATAGTGTGCATAATACCGCCCACTGTAATTCCGAAATGATTAAAAATAAAGGTAAAAAATTAAAATATAATGGATTGTAATGAATATTATGATGTTTTACTGTCATGATCTTAATGTATTTTTGTTAATTAATTACTACTCCACTGCTTTATTACAATAATCAATACAATCGAATACTAAGAAAAAACCCTTCTATCTGTCCAGTCCTGGCAGATCGAAATTATTCGATCTTTATATGTATTTATAATTATAATAACCGTTTTTTTGTACTTACAATTAAAACGTTTCGTCTACAATACATTACCAAAGTACAATAATAATTCAGGGATTTCAGAGAGAGGTGTATTATCTACTCTATATAGTATATTAGCTCCTTGAAGTTTAGGTAAATATACTTTATTCCGATGTCTGATTATTATACATCACTATTGAGTTATTCTGTTTTATGTTAATCTGAAATATAGTGGTTTATTTGTATAATGGACTTTTTGCAAGCATGTTTTTAGCTATTGACCATAAATTTTCCTTTAAATTGTTATTCGCTACGGTTTTGTTACGTAAATTATCGATTATAATAGGTACTTCGAGGTTTATTTACTTTCTTGGTGATTTCATAAGTTTATTTAATATATTACTGTATAAGTATGGTGGCCAAGAAGTGGTTACAGAAACCCAAGACATCCTGCAGCGAAATAAGTAAACGACATCGTCGCCGTATATGGGTAAGTGGATGACTCAAAGTATGCCTATACCCAACGGTGGATGAAGTGCGGCTGTGGGTGGTGGTAATATATATATATATATATATATATATATATATATATATATACTTATCATCATCAATAATATATATATATTATTATACCAAGTGACGAGACGTACAAGTCGTGCGTCTGATAGTAAGCGACACGCCTATCCATAACACTTGCACAGCCACTCAGAGCTGTAAATCCCTAAGATCTTAGGGGCACTGCCTTTGCGCCAGTCACCCTGCGACATAAGTTGACAAGTCCCTTGTGTAATTTCACCAGCATTCTTACCCTTCAAAAGTGAAACGCAATAATGCACACGCAACTACTTGGTGGTACAAATAGGTAAGGTGGCAGTACTACCTTCGACGAACTCTTTCACTTTTTTTCACGATTTTTTGACTCGTTTATAATTTATAAAATTGGAAGTATCAATTTATTTTTGCCTTCAATTAATAGTAATGAATATTAATTTACATGTCACATGACTAATTATTTGTTTTCATGGCACTCCTTTACCTCGTTTTGAATTGGTATTAATTAAAATAAAATTCCAATTGTATTTGTGATCTATTTTAATGCGCGTTAAAATGAGTAATGTTTTGTTTGAAACCATCTGGAGCACAACCGCGTCAGGCAACCCGGTGCCGATGACACTTTGTCGCCGTTTGAACCTTTTTACTAATATCTTTTGAATATTGGACGGCGCTGTCGCAAAAAAATTATATCGCTCTTCTAACAAACCAATTGAGCAAATTTTTTAACACACGGGCAACATAATTTGAGCTCTACGTTCATATACAAAACAGCTAGAGATCGTATGGCGATTACTACAGAATGTTCCATATTGAAAGCCGATTAAGATCACACTTTAGTGTCACTATGCCCGGCCAATTATTAAGTATAGAAATATATTTAAGGCCTTTGTTACAACCACACCAAATAAATGGTCTCAAAAATACTATGAGTACAAGAGCAAAAGAATTCAGTCCCGGATACTACCCAGAACACCCAAGATCAGAATTAATTTACAAAAGGTAACTTCTCAAATTGGTCTTACTGGGAGACAAAGCTCCTCATCCAGCACCGACTGTACAAAATCGTTGCGCCAAATAGATCGACAAAAAAATTATGCTTTATAAAAAAATGCTCTATCGATATTGAAACGTAGGAGAGGGTAAGCGACGACGCTTAGTTTGTTAATGCATTGTATCTTCGCAATGTGGATTACTTTAAATTAAATATCAGAATATGATAGTACGGGGTGCCTCGTCTCGCTAAAAGGGTCTCAAAAATAGACTACAGGCTGACAGTGCGGTTTCCGAGTGTTTTCTACGTAATTGCCGCGTACTGCTTCTCCATAGAGAATTATCACCGACGTACCGTCAAAATTATTTACAGCACATATTTGTGAACACCGACGTGTTTGTATGAAGTGATCAGTGCATGTTAATCTCATTGAACTTTCTAACAACGCAAGTTTTAACCAAATGTTTTATTCTAAAACGCACAGGAGTCATTTCCAGTAATAAATAATAATAAATAACGCACACACTCAACATAGCCTCGCACTAGGGAAACCCTGTGTCGCGGGTGCAATGGACACACACATAGACAACCACAAATTACACCCAAACTCACGAGATAAATAAATGTAAGCCATACAAACATTTCTCCCGGCCCGGGAATCGAACCTGGGACCTCTGCGTGGCAGTCCGACATGGTAACCGTTCGGCCACGGAGGCAGTTAAATACTGGTGATGGGCGCAGTGGCAGTGCCCCTCAGATCTTTACGATTTAAAGGTCTGAGCCGCACTGCAGATGTTATGGACAGGCATGTCGCTTATCATCAGGCCCACGATTTGTGCGTCCTGTGTCACTTGGTATTATAAAAAAAAAATAGAAATAGCAAGGGGTGGAATAAAAAACATTTATCTTATAATAGAACTGGCGTGCAATTCTTCGTCTTATCACTCCACACTCGTAGAAATCCATTTAGTTTCAATAGAACAGAGCAGAATTAAATATTCCAGGTTAGGTTTCTCTACCTAATTTTGGTGGAAATGTTTATTATTTAAGAATTTAAGTATTTTGTTGTAAAATATTAAATAATATTGCTGATTACTACACTCGAATAATGAACTGTTTCGTGATAATATTATGCAGTATTTAAATAATAAATATTGCCTCCGAAATTAGGTACGAGAAAATTAACTTGAAAATTACCCATGTTTTTAGTTAGTATATAGTTAATTCAATACGACATAATGGCAATCATCCTTCTACCGTCATAGGCGTACTTTCTTTTAAACAAGAATATTGATGGGATCAGCCGTCAGTAATAAAGCAAAATTATTCTATTGAATCAATATAAACACTACGGCACAAAGAAAAGTAGCGACATTTTTCGTGTGCGGTACTTTTGAAGCATGAATGGGTTAAATGGCAAAATTGTGCCTGTACACAGAATATCGTTGCCATTAGGACGTCTGTGGTGCTACGCAGTTATTTCGCAGATGTTTTCAAACACATTACTCATTGTAATGCGCGTCGAACTTCCCTGTGATATGCCAACCCGGCCACACCCACAGCGGTTAATACAAACAAAATACGAAATGCTCTATGTACATTGGTATATAACTCGTTATATTATAGTAATAAAGTATTGTTTAAACTACGTAGTGTATCGACATGGCGACCGATGACTCATAAAACGTTACTTATATATTGTAAACATAAGGAAAGTATCTAGTATGTGGATGTTAAATAATATTTCAGCATACCATACTTTTTTTAAAGCCCCACCTAGGGAAACCCTGTAACGCTGGTGCCATTGACACACACATAGAAAACCACAAATTACACCCAAACTCACGACAGAAATAAATGTAGACCATAGAAATATTTCTCCCGGCCCGGAAATCGAACCCGGGACCTCTGCGTAGAGACCAGCATGGTAACCGTTCGGCCACGGAGGCAGCTAAACTACTCAAATATGAAATAAACCTTCGTGATAATATTCTAAAATATTCAAATATTAAAAATTGCCACCGAAATTAGATAGAGGAAACTAACGTGAAAATTGCCCATTATGTGTATATATTAGGAAAAGGGAAAAAAGCTTCAAGGGTCTTATAGAATACCCAACAGGAACAAAATGGTAAAGACATAAAGCTTCTCTCGACAAAAGTAAAAATCGCTATGAAAAAGAACCGAATTATGGAATTACTGAAGCGCCAAAAAAGCTCTCCGATAGTTACGTAACCTGGACTGATCGATGTAGAAAAAAAACCCAAACGCTTTTGTTTAGTTCGAATTTATTTTTTTAGTTTAATAGTCGTATAATGACTAAAAATAAAGGCAAAATGTTATTATTATTATTAAATTTATAGCCTATCTTTTTTGAAGATGGAGTCAAATAACATTTGCAGGGTTGCCAGTTTTCGTATCATTTTAAATAGTCTTGTAACTGTTGTCGACAGATTTATCGATAGATTGTGAAAGTAGGCAAAATTTCGCCAAAAATGTCTGAAGTGTGAATGTTATGACGTTATAATGATTACTATTGCGTTATTGTGTTCTTCATTCTTTTTTTTTTTCATTGTTCTTCATATTTTGACAGTTGGTCTATTAGTATACCATACCATATCGAAGGATGTAGCGTGTCCGATACTGTGCCACTGAACCAGAATTCATGTCACCAAGAAGGGCTGGTGAGATGAAGTCTAATTACGCGTACCTATTGTAAATTTGTATTATTTATTTTTAAGTGTTTCTATTTTAATTATTTTATTAAGTGTAATTTACTAACATAGTCCTAAGTTTCTGATTGTTACTAACAAAGTGGATCAATGATCTTAAATAAATAAATTATTATTATTACTATTAGTATCGAAATCATTTTTAGTCATACACATTAACGACAGGCGGATTTGATCCTGTATATTAAATTAAAATGAAAAACCTTAAAATGTGTATCCTATTTGTATTTTTTACACACATACCCACTGCAAAATTTAGTGTATTTATGTATGAATTTTCTAAAGTTAACAATTCAAATGAACCTGTGCTCACCAGTTGTAAGAATAATGGGCCGATGATGATTCAGATGAAACAAGTTCACCTACAATAAGCGTAACTAACATTTAGTCGATAGTCGAAATAACATTTCTCGACTGCAGTCACTAGCTGCTTGCAAGCGGGCAACACTTTTGCACAATAAACTGTCATTTTACTCCATCTTCAAAAGACAGACTTTAGGACAAAAAAATACTAATTATAAACATCTGGTTTAGGGGATACATGATCAGCAAATTCAACCTTTATCGTCCTTTTTCCGTGCAGACAACGGTGTCAATAACGACCACGTGCAGCTTGCTTGTTTTTGTCAACTAATAGCGATTAAGGACTAGACCTTTTTTTCTGATGGTGACAATTGAAGTAATTAATGTCATTTTTTAAAGTAGTATAAACAAAAAAACCAGTAAAATAAGAGGCGATGCTAGCTACAATCTTAAACTTGCAAACAAAAATATTTTGAAACTAGTACTACGTCGAGTTTGCTGGTAGCACTCTATAGTCCACTACAGGCGACTTGTAGACACATTTAATGTTTTCCTATAAATTTGTATTTTTATTATATTGCATGCCAAATAAACTTTTGTACCGACCGCGTGTTTTAAGGTATAATCGAGTCCTTATACTTATTTAAAAAAAACTTTAGCACGAATGATATAACTTGCAATTTTCACTAAAAATTATTTACATTGTTCGATTCAAAATTTCACGTTTATACTGTGGCATCCATTAGTGTTGCAAGAGACAGTTACGCATTATTAAAATAATTGGCATGTACAAAATATATTTTGACACTGTCAAGTGTCAAAATATATTTTGTACATGATAGTCATATCATTATTTTCAGGAGTTATGTTTCCAGCTGTGAAACTATGAAAGCGTTTATACAAATTGCACGATAAAAATAAATTACCAAAAGTATTTACGCACTTAGATCACCACTTATTAATAAAACTATGAACATTGTATTTCAAAGTGAAACAATAAAGCATAATGAAGTGTGTCTAATGTAATGGTATTTCAAAACAGAGTTGCATGACGAAAAATCGCGAATATTAAACGCGCGAAATTCCACAGCCATGTTTCATATCATAGACAATCTAACGTGGCGAAGCGGAGATAATGTCTTTGTGAATTATGAATGAACTTTTCAACTCACACGTTGACTGTAAAGACAAGCATAATAAGGAGTATAATCGCCTGTATTATGTTAAATATCAGTTGAGAATGAGTTGAAATTTTTCATTTGAAAACCTTTCCGAGTCACGCGTTATTGATATCCTGTGGAAACGCAAACCTTAAAACTGAGCTTCTTATTTATAACCATTATGAATTTGAACTTAAGGCAGTTAACAGATCTGATTTGATTCAATTTGTTGCTCAATAAGTACAAAAACCCCAGTTAAGACTTTAAATCACGTCATTAACTTGTAAGCAGTTTAAGCAGCTGCATGAATTTTCTTTATCACGCTTATCTCACTAACTCCGATCTCTACCCCGCAAAAATACAAAAGTGGAACTCACCTTCTCGAAGACAAGATAAAACTTGTCCGTGTCCTCAAAGAATTCAATGAGCTGGATTATATTGGGGTGTCCCTGGCAGTAGTGGAAAGTCTCCACTTCGCGGAACACCCGGGCGCGGGCGTGGCCTGGCACCTTATCGATGATCTTCACCGCGAACTCCTGCTCCGTGTAGATGTTGACGCATGTTTGTACCGACGCGTACGCACCCTCGCCCAAAACTTCACCCGTTAATTTGTACAGGTCTGTGGACAATACACACAATGAAATTTGAATACTACACAATCACAAACTTGTAACTTCTCCACTCCAGAGACATTATATAATGTGGATTCTAAAGAAAACACAGAGCTTAAATCATAATAGATATTACACTAAAAGCACGTAGGTAAAGACAATTACGTCATTGTCTTAGATGCACAAATTAAAAAGTCTATGAACGATAAAGATAAAAAGGAAGCAAAAAAACTTGATCAATATTCGGAAAAATAATAGAACAAATAGAGTTCAAAATTGTAGACAGAACCAATGTCATTGAATTACATGTACAAATTAAAAGGTCTAACAATGGTAACAATATCAAGGAAGCAAAAACCTGATGAAATTTCGGAAATAGAATAAATTAAGTCCAAAATTAACTTTAGCATCGAACACAATAGACGCACTGGGTCAAGGAAGGCGTATTTATAGCCGACCCATTAGGTACCAAACAAAAATTTTTCAAACAATACAGAGCTGTCTAATGACATTGACGTTTTATTTGCTCCAGTTGTTCATCAGATACTAGCTGTTCTGTTATTTGCAGCTATTGCAAGTGCATTGGCATAAATCTGGCAATTGTTTAACGCATTTGGCCTCAATTTATGAGTGAGATAAAACTAAGAGAATTTATAGTGTATTTTTTAAGGTTAAAAGAAGTGCGAATTTGACCTCCATGTCACCTGATGGAAAGTGACGATGAGGTCGGTGAACAATGGACCTGCACACCTTATAATGCCTATGCACTCTCGGCTGAAAAACGCCCAAGTTATATCATTCAGGGAACAAATCTGCAAGAGTTTCATTCTAATGCCGTACGCCATATAAATGTGGAAGCTTAACGTTTGGATTGTCCTACTCATAAGAGTAGGATCCTTTTGGGCCAATCGCTGGGCAAAATATACTTGTAGCCATTACATTTCAAAGACAGGATTTGCAGTCGTATTTTATAAGCCAGCATGTTACTTAATTACCATGTTAATTACATAATTACCATGGCGGAGGTGGAAGGAGTAATAGTAGTAACTCACCTTGGAAACATGATGTAACGACGGAGCTCCCAGAGCGCTTCTTCCTTCGGCGCTTCCTGCGCGCCTCCTCTTTACGCCTCTGCAAGTCCTCGCTGTCGGGGATGGCGACCGGCGCCGAGGGCTCCGGCCCGCGTGGGCTCTCGTCCGACTCGCGCTCGCTGCCAGACTGACTGCTGCAGCGGCCGACGCCTGCATAACAAAAAATATCACATTACTAAGCTGGAAAATCGTACAAACCAAACTTATCAATAAACTTAATAACCTTGGCAAATGACCATGAACTTGCAGCTTTAAGCTCATTCATTATACTCAAGCATTACAAAATGCGTATCCTGGATTTTGACTCTTTTGCAGTAAATACAAATTAATATGCTGTTCAGATCAAAAGTTAGACATAGCCGCGGAAGATGGACGTACAATAGCACAGCAAAGATTGTCAATAAATTAGTCAACTCGCAAAATGTAATCTAACGGTACGACACTCCCTACAGATACGAATCTGACAACGACCGACCACAGCCAGCTGAATAGAAAGTCAGGAGAATTACGAGCCGTCCATCAGCGTAATATTTTGCATTCAAGTCACAACTGCAATCGCCAACGCGTTGCAAGCGAGCTGCGTCTCCGTGCTGAGTCAACAACCGAAACTAATAACGTGATGACAGTTTTATTTTACAACGCCGCAAATTACTACGAAATCCCTTTTTTTTGTATTGCCAAGCACACCGAACATTTGAATAACCCAGCGCGAAAAACCATTACGCATGCGTATGTCGACGAACACAATAACGCGCTGTTGCCAGCGGCTCTCACTTCGCTTTTGGTGCCAGCCCCATTGTTGAAACGTTTTCACCGTGTTTGGTTTTAAAATAATGCTCATTTTGCATGTTTGGCTTTTCGAAAACTCTTTGTACGGATAGATTGCGCCGGGTCGGTTGTTAGTAAATAAGCGACTGTTTGAAACAGCTGGTCCTTCACTATGCACTTCATTAACAAAACAATTGTTTAGTAATAATTTGTATCTTTCTACTTTGTTGAACTGGTAACATTTACTTAACTAGAGAGTATCGGTTCATTGCTATTCATTCACTCGGAACTTTGAAGCTAGAATTTCTCAGAAAAACCAGAGGATTTTAGGTCCTATTCTCGGTTGTTGCATTTGTGCATAGAATGTTGTTTGTGGAGCTAGAATGATATATAATAGTCGTCAAAAGCAGTTGTACGACGATAAAACTCAGGATCATTCACGGAACACTACGTATTCTGGCGAGTGTCAAGCGTAAGCCCGCACTCTTCAGTCCCATCTGTCGGTCACTGATAATAATAATCTGACGTGGTACAGCTGAGTTGGCAAACAAAGCCGGTTCATCGACCTACATGGCCGCGCCCAGCGCAGCGTGCGCGCCCACATTACGCGATCATTCCGTTCTACGTCTTGGCGTCGACGACTAGGCTTAGATGTGACATTACAGTTTTTTTTAATTGTCCTCATAAAAACTATTCAGCGTTTCCATTTCGCTCTCTCGTTAGTAATATTTATTGTTTTCAATGAAACGATTAGTCAAAGCGTTAGTCGACTTTCAAATGTAAATAAAAACCACTGAGAATCCAATTGGAAAACGTACTAAGTCTTAGTTACCAAATGAACAGTTCAAGCTCGATTAAATTCGTCCAACGAACCGTGTAATATTACTCTTCTAGAACTGGTATTACATTCAAGATCTCTAGAGGCTAGTGATTGTTGCACAGTCGCCGCCGCTGTTACTTGATTAGGCGGCGCAGAGCTTGTAGTCCGTATCACGTTGCTGTTCGACTTTCGAGATTAGTAGGCGACATGACGACCGTGCGCCGAACCATTCTGTTCAGCCTTTAAGCCAGAAATAGCATGATTTATATTCTCGGACCACTTTAGTGGAACGTATCAGCAGATAAGATTTCAATCAAATGGCAAACATGATTAATTTCATTTCAATAAAGAGTGCTGGTAGCACAGTGGTAGGCTAAACGGTGGCTTCTCAATTCAGAGATCGACGGTTCGAATCCCTGTAACGGTAGATAATATTATGTAAATGTTTGGTAGCAATACCTCTCTCTAAGAAGAGAACTTTGCCCTGAAGAGGATTCTATGAATTGTAAAAACAAAATGCCAAACGAAGTCCCACGCAATTGTAATAACTTAAGTAAATGAATGAACACAACAAATACTCGAGGAAGCATAGGAGTCGCGGCGCTAGTTCCGCACTTATGACTCATAGCTGCGTTTCTTCCGCATCCAATACTTCGAGTTTATTTGAATGGCAATACAAACATGCACGTATGTCCTCTGAAAGTATATATTTACAGAGTTGCGTGCGCTGTTTAGTGATAAAAGCGAAACTCTGCCATTAATTGCACGCAATGACCTCAGCAGGACGTAGCCACAGCAACTGGCGCAAAGCAAATGCGCAGTTGATTGTTACAACCAGGTTAGAGGCACGCCCACCACAGTCGTCCGATACAAAACAGCTTCCTGTTTATATGAGTTGTATCGTATTACAACATTGCGCAAAATTCTTATTAGAAACTACCATTTACTGTGTTAATATGATAAGTCAAATATTGTTCATTCCGCAATAACCATGAAAACAAAGAAGCTTGTTCTAATCAACTTCAACCTTCACGTTCAAAATGAACTGAGTCATCGACCGCTGGATACAGAAACTCATTTCAATATCTCATAAAAACCTCTACCCACGAATCTCTTCTTGAAATTTAGTATTGATTAAAAACTTTTGATTTTCGCATTTTGCTCGGTACCCAAAAATATATTTATATCATTATAAAAGATACCAACAATAGCCTGAAAAACTAACAGCAGTAGAATAATTTGTCTCTCACATGAACAGTGTTCACAATTAAAGTATGTGTAACGGATTATGTCATAATAACAAAGTAATGGGACTTGGACTCGGGTGTCGCATTTTTCTTTCCCGGGTAGCGCGAGGCGTGGCAGCCCCGCTGGCCTGAACACCCCGCCTGCTAACCAATACAACCCGGCAACAGTCTTGCAAGCTCCATGTTAATTCCACCGATTAAGCCTAATGTAACCACATGACACTCATTCACTCGAGGTCGCAAAACAATGCTTGACCCAAAAATGTAGGCGTGCCAACAAATTGTAAAAACAATACGCCATTAAAATGATACTGTTGAAAATTTCATTTTGTTTGTCTAAGGCTTAATCAATTCATACTTATACAAAAATGTAGTTACGCAAAGCAATCGGCTTATATCGTAAATTAATGTATATTTATGCGTTTTTTGTAGTACGTCACGTACGCCACATCGTTCGATCGCTATTGACTCATTTATTATTAATTTGCACGTCGATATAGTCATTAGAATGCTTTGTTTTAATTCTTAAATTGTCGCAACATCCGTACCCTTGGTGGTTTCTACTTTCTAATCTGCTGGTGGCATTTACGCTTGGCCACGACTGCACTCTCTCGATCGTAGGCCCATTATACTTTTGTTCTATTCTGTACCCTACAGTCGAGAAACAAGGCACTTTCTAATTGCGTGAAAATTAACGCCCTGTGAGCTCCGATTCCTTCAATCAAACGCAATATAATATGTACTGTATTTCATATAGTGAGTATAAATAAAGGTTTGGATTGGTATCATGTTACAGAAATTATATTACGCTCATGATTTGTTACGTCGGTCATTTCTAAATCGATTCAGTCAACTGTCATAATTACTTACGTCGAGCAAAGTCCACGGGGTTAGATCATGTATAGTAGTACAGAATTATTGAGAAAATTGCCAAGTGGGTCTGGCATCACACCAGATAATAATATCTCAGAGAAACTTAGACGGGGGCGTTTCGAACTGCAGTATACGCAGCAAACCACTTTCACTGATTCAGCCCCTATACCTAATAAAGATTATATATATATTCATTTAGAAACTACAGCTTGACTTGATACTAAAACCCATATATAGAAAAGACTAGTAGCGCTTGTGAAGACGAATTTATAGATTGGGAGTTAACGGTAAAAAAGTTTTAGGTGCCGTAGATGGGATAAAATCCAACACATAATTCGTAAATAAACCAATTCGTAGTGCGTAATACGAAAGTGTTGTAGTACAGGGAAGGGGACTGCGGGAGACCCTATGCACCTAGTGGCCCGAAAATCGATTCGGCAAACAGGGTCCCAACGGGGGGACAGAAGCGGAGGGGGTTTGATATTACGCCGCAGAGCTGCTACATCGTCACGGTCAAGGTTACTCCGTTTTACCCAGCCACGATTGACTGAGTATAATCAACTGCAATTCGGCTGGTGTGTTAAAGGAGTGCATAGTAGTCGATACAGTTTTACTGAGATCACGTAATTAACTGTGTCCTGTGAAGAATATCGATTTTTTCCATTTTATAGAAATTTTACATAATTACGTGAGGTAATAATACAAGTACATCCATCCCAAAACAATTTATATAGCACTAGACAACCAATTTAATAAACTTTACAGATCAGCAATCCAAGAACTTGTTATCCAATTTTCCTGTAACTGGTTATATATATTCTTAAGTGGCACTACTTTTATAATTGAATGAACAGTTTTGTTTGGTTTGTGTAATTAGTGGGTGACCTTGACAATGAACGCTAGGGCGTCGCGCTTCAGCGGCCATACTGGAATATAACCGTTGAAAATTATCAGATTGCATTAAATTATCAACGCATTCTTGCATTTATAGCTTTTAACACTATCCACCTAACTAATGTGTAAAAAGTGTTGCGTAATGAAGGGAATTCCAAACCGATAATGAAAACTTTGGAGCTGCTAAATTGGCTGAAAGAAATTCTTGGAAAATTAATGTAACAGTAGGTACGGGATATGAACATGAAAATAAATTAGGAGACAATGCAGCACCAAGTATCATGTTGCAATGCGGACGTAAGCTGGAACCGAAACAGTTTGTCACTCGCAGCCAAAATTGCAAGTAATCCAAAACCCGGCTACTAGAATTACAACGTTATTGCTCTTTCAATAAAAGCCGCTCATGCGCTTAATTAGAGCGTGTTAATCTTCACAAAAGTTGATTGGATTCCTTAAATTACGAATAAAAACAAAACTTTACATAATCAACGATAAGGTGCATTCGATGCCCAACGGCATACCATGAAAGTAATAATCATAAGAAAATTACAATGTCTTTGAAGCTTAATATTCTTATTAAATCCAATTCTATCACCGATATTAACACCCCATAACAACACATAAAATTATTACGCAACTAATCAGCATTTAACTACGGGAAGAAAGTTTTCAAGATATCCAAGATATCATTAATGCAAATACCTACTGCAATCTGTTACAACCTGTATAACCACTTTTATTGCCACTATGGCATTTCAAAATGTAAAAAATTGCTTTTGTAAACTATTAGAATCGTACAATGGATCAATGATATTATTTTTTCCATTCACCAAGGAGTTCTCGAAGTAACCTTCACGTGGCTTGGAAACGATAAACTTTAGTGTTATAAACAGAGCTGCACGGTCACGTCATCCTAAATCATAAACCTGCTAGTACAAAATGCAATAAGTTGTGTATGGTCAGTTTTCAATGCATTGTGCACTTATCTTGAACCTGTTTTCAGCTATAATTGCCGCAATAAAATTTGCACTCCAATTAAAAATACTGTTAAACCCATAATCAGGATCTCTTTAGAAAAACCTACCTAAAGCATTTTCGGAGATGACAAGGACAATGATGACAAACGACGGATTTTCACCTTCATTGTTCACAAAAAACTTTGAAAACAAACAACTGCAAGGTTGGTCTCATTAACATTAATGATATTGATGCTAATTTCGTTGTCCATTATTTTAGAACAGAAAACCTGTGAACGAAACAGATCTACTATACTTTCCTACTATTTACTCTACTAAAAGCTGAAAATAAACGTCAGCAATTTAGAAACAAGCATTTATCCCAAAAATTCTTAAAGCTACATAGAATATAATAAGTAAGTTTAAGTCAGCCATGATTGTTTGAGTTTGAGATATCGATGCCGGTACTGTAGGTATACAAGCTAGGTGTATACATCCATAAAAGGCACACATTGTACGCCTACAGCAAACCTCGCTACGCAACAACACAAATAGCCGGCTTGTATCATACAGCGAGTTGCTAAGAGGCTTAATTTCATAATAAAGTATTTACAGACTCAAAAAACCATGGCTCAGCTGCAAAGTTGACAATAATAACACTCACCGCTATCTACACTCTCTTCGGAGATCTTCTTCACCATTCTGATGATTGCTTGATGCGTTGATACTGAGATGTTCCGAGTAGATGCTCTACTCTTGAAAAGCCGCTTTCAAACTTGTGCGGCTGCCTTCTCGACGTGAAATCGGAACGGCGTTTAAAGACAAGATAGAAATTAAAACGCCTAAACATAAAAAAAATTAAAAGCACCACAGTCGAGAAGGATTTAGGAAAGTGTGCGGAAGGTAATAAACAAACACTGCTAGAAGGCGGAATGAAAAAAACTGCTTGGTGTCGTTAGCGATCCATCCTACACACGCCCGCCCGTTCGATGTTCTAAAATCCAACTGACGAGTTCGTGAGGCCGCGGAGCCGGCTCAACCGGCACACCCCGCGTCCCGTCCGCACCCCGCCGGCCCTCCTTTGCGCTGTTGTGGCCTCTCGTCCGCATCACGCATGCGCTCTCGCTCGCACCGTTGACGTGTTTATATTTTTTGTCGTTATTTTTTTCTCGTCGCTATGCCATTAGTGTATGTGGTGTATCTTCCCATTCAAGTAGGAATTTTAAGACCAGATGTTTACTAAAACACAAGACACTCTACCGGTAATCTTTTTTATCATGATATTCATCTTCAAGATATAAAGAACCAATACGTCTATTGTTTTTAGTCACTATTTCATCATTTACTTTTCCTAATTAGACACACTTTATTTTCATATTTCAGTCAATAGCCAATGCCAAAAACAAAAGGCACCTAGAACTCTAACATGCAACTATGTAATATTAGAACGATAAGCCATAAACATCCGCTTCGTATTACTGTGATAATACATACATATATTATCAATCACTAATACAAAGATCAAAATTATTGAGAATCGTATTCTTCTATTCGCGGAAATTCCGTAAGAACCGAAGTTGAAAATTCAAACAAAGAAAAAACCACAACCAATTACGTAACTTCCAAATTGTTACATCAACCCTCCTTATTCTGAGTCCGTCCTAAAATACTGGTCCAGACCAGTCGTTCTTAGGCATTCTTTGTTGCTGTGGGCTATTATGTAATAAGAACTTCTTTGTCTTCCAAACCCTTCAATGGGTGACCTTCACAGGGCGTTTGTTGACAAACAAGACGGGAGCGATCGCACGACGCACGCCGCACGTGGTACGGGCCAACCGGCCCCACCGGCAACCGGCTCCGCCGCCATGTTTGTTGTCACGCCACCTCCCCGTCTCTTTCTAACCTCAACGTAATACTCTTCTAACCTCGCACTTCTCGCTCTAACATCACCTCTCTCACTCGTGGGCCTACGTGACTAACAACAACAATAACATAACCCTCACGAAACAGAATTGTAAATTCACACATGACAACCAACTGTATCGTGGTGATAATTCAAATTGGCGTTATAATAATTAAGTTGTACTAAATTGATGCATCTTAATTTCGTCAATTATCTTTGTTATCACACCGTACTAGTTTGTGTAATTATGTAATATGTACATACTATTACACCCATTTAGGTTCTTAAACTATATTTTAGCCTCCTTCTTTAATTCGTACAATACATGAAACAAAATCTTATCTCCGGAAAAATAGTTGTCAGGTGTCTGTTACCATGTTATTCAATGAAAAATATTGACAGAGTGTTTATATGAATCATCAGTTCTTAACAATGGAATTTTGGTTATAGGTACCCTTCTAGTGTCTCATTATCCCTTATTTTAAAACAAAGTTCAATATTGACAAACTTGTCTATTGTAAATTTAACGGTAGGCGAGAAGGGGTTTCTTCGTGGATCACTTTCCGTTTTTGAAGAATCACAAACAAAGGGGGATAACGCCTACTGCGGAGTTTTTGGGTCCGGTACTCTAAAACAGTCAACCAGCTGTAAATTTACAACTGAACGAGCTAAGTCGAGGTCAGGTAGCCGTTTAAGATTATATTGGATCCTCCTAATCCTTATTTGTATTTTTTCTTTCCTTTTGTTTTCAAAGACCGCCGTCGAAAAATCCACTATAGCTAAAATTATGTAAACGCTTGAGATGTAACACTTAAGAATTTTGTTTTCTATTGTCTAACGTTTTTAAAACCATTTTAGGGTAAGTGACTACCAGTTATTTGTTGTTGTTGTAAAATTTATTGTCGTGAATTTCATTAGACTGAGAGATTTTGTATGTAAAAGGGTTGTTTTCTGTAGATTTTTACAAATTATTTCCCACGATAGAACGTTGTCAGATAGCGTATGACGATATAATATTTATTTGCAGTTTACGCTCACCTTTGCTCAACACCTTTCTGACGATAGCATTAATGTCTTCCTCGTCATCCATGTCGAAGATGTCCTGGGAACAAAGTAGAACGCTTCATAAAAATCAAGAAGCAATAGACGCTAAAGTATAGTAAAGCTTCATTGTAACGCAAACAATACAATGCTCAATAATACAATACATGCTGCGCAATTGCGTAACCGAATCTCGATTCTCGCCGCTCTTCCCTAGGACCGTTTATAGCTACCCATCTAGCTATAAATGTGTATTCGTTCAAAATTTATTAGATGGCCCCCATTTTTACTGATGCCAGAGGAAAATATACCCAAAATTGTTAAAGGTAAGGCTGTTTTAGATTTAACTGTACTGTTTCTAACGTTATGAAAGGACTGCGCAGTTTTAAAAGGAGCTGTGAATTTTTGTTGTTGTCCTATAGCTCTTGTGTTCTGTGAATGTAGAAATTATAGGAGTACAAAGTGTCAGAGCTCTAATAAGATTAGATGAGCAGTGAAGGGAGACGCAGGATTGCATGGCGGTATTCCCATGGTTCAAGCTTTTTGTAATCCCTTTGTGTCGAAACCATGAACGTACGAGGCCCAAGTCACGTGTGCTCGGGTGCTTCCTTGCAACTGCACCTGACGTTCATACAAAGAACTTTGATGGAATTTTTATACCGATCCGGGTCGATCGGGGATTACATATATTTTTTTCAATTCTTTGAGATCACTCCTTTTTAAGTCAACTTGAAATAGAGGTAGAAAAGTGTACATTCCGAGTCACAGAAATTTCTGGAAGTTTTTTAAAACCTTGTAGCTGGTCGTCATCATTCGCCATTAACATCATACTCTGACATGTAGGTATTCGTGATAAAAACTCATCGACTTCATAATCATGAACAATTATTCTATTACAACCATCGATACCGTCTTTAGAATCGATGATTACAATAACAACAATTACAATAGAACTTTATCATCAGGCGGTCACAACGCTGTTTACGTGATATGTTATTTAGCAAATTACTAGAATAATTTTCTTCGAAAAGACCTCGTACGTAATTCACAATTTGCTCGCAAATCGTTAGCGGGTACTCTAAAAGGAGCATACAAACAGACAACCGAACCACTTTGCTGTTTTCTGTAGGCAACGACTACATTCATACTTCTGAAAACATCTTGTGGATTGTAAACATAGTTACTACATCCGGAAATAACGCACTAAAAGTTATTGAAACGACAGGAGGTCCGTGCTAGAATTAAAACACCTAGTTTTGAGGTTTAAGATTAGGTGTTAGCAATTTATGCAATTTCTCTTTCCACCTTGAACTTCAGCCAGTTATCTTGACGGTTGAGGGGCAGGTTACGGTACGTACCATCAGGCATGTCTGCATTTATCATTAATTACGTCAACAGCTAATTTGGTCATCGATTTTGTGCTCAATAAAAGTAGCAATATCAAGAATTTAGGTACAATACTGAAATGATAATGATTGCATTGATAACAAATAATTCATAACTCAATGAAACAATCTTTGCAGCATAAACTAGATAATCAATTAGTTATCCGATCTGTGCTCTGCAGTCAATGGAATATTTTAAATACAACTACTATTATCAACTATTAGCAACTGCTAATAACATACAATAGAATAGAGAATTTCGAGTTTTATACACGAAAACAAATTGCGGCTTCGTGACAAGCCACATTAAATATAGCTATCGAAGCCGTGTTTAAAATGATGACAACAAAGCGTATAAACTTTAGTGCTGATTTAATAGTAGGTACTTAGACTTGTAAATGACGCGTCATAGATAAGAGTTTGGTATAAATAATACATCCTGAATAAAATGGTAGATTAAAATATTGTTTCTTTGTGACACGTCATTGAATTGTGTCCTTAAAAGAGAACCTATTTTCTGATATTATAATTTTTCAGGAAGTGGTTTGTTTCCGGCCTTAGTGCCGTTTCGAGACTATTTTTCCATCGCAGGATTATATACGGTCACCCGTTCCAAGGTTACGGAAAACATTTGCATCGCTGATATGGGCTTTTTGCGTTGTCTCGGATATGTTTAAAACATTATGTGGGGCTCGGTGCGGTGAAGTGATGTCGACAACCCCGGCGACACAAAAAAAATCTTTCACTCCTACACTCCCGAAGATGACTCGCAAATAGAAACTAATAGACTTGTCGCTCTTCATGCGCCCACAAGAGTTCCTGCTTTAACATTGAAAAGTCCGATAAGTATAAAGAACAAGCACTAAAACTAATGACGTCAAACAGAGACAGCAAACAATGAATATATCCAAACATAGATTTGATTCGTGACAATGAAACCCTTATTTGCTATAGTAAACAAACGTATTCGTTAATCTAAGCGGGCGGCAAGTTACTAACGACGATCAATTTATAATAATTAGGTTGTGAATGTAGCGGTTGGCGGCTGACCGCAGAGACCAAAGATAATACATTGACGAGCTTTTGTTGTGGAAGAAGTCACTGCTATTTTCTTTTATGCAAAATAGACGAATGCTTGACCACAATCTGACCTGAAGTTAAGTGATGAAGTGTTCTGACGATTTTACGCGTTTGTCTGGTAAAGGCCTACTCATTCTAGCCTTGAAATGCTTTTGGGAAACATAGTTGTATTCGATACCATCGCCGTAACGCAACAGGCAAAGTAAAGCAAAGCGCTTTGTACGATTTCATAGTACGTCAATGAAATAAAAAGTAGTGTTTTAAACGTTTTGGAAAGAGAAGTGGTGAGGGTGGGACTAAATTGTAAAGTTCGTGCGCTCACTCTTCGAAATGTATCCGATAGTTACTTTCATATTAATCCGTAGGAGAGAACAATTTATTTTTAATAAACTTAGTAAAAAATTAATCTAGCATTTCTGTTCAAAATGCGTGGCCTCGACGACCTGGGAAATAAATTGAGTCCCTTTGTGGAAGGTACGCCCAACTGGATAATCCAACTCCCTGAGCTTTGCGTAATTCCATATAATTTGACGTTGTTCCAACATCTATATTCATTTACCCGAACCGTCTTGAA